CTAAATTTTTAAAATTCTAAAATAACCACACCTAATTAAATTTTGAACTTTGAAAAGTTCATACCAACTTTCAAAGGTCATTCGAAATGACAACCGACCAATTTCAGCTAATTTTTGTGACTGATAATTAATTCACAAACGCCTAAAATAGCCCTGGAGGATTAACTTCGAAGGCGGAAAGGCTTAGGCTCGAAGACACTAATTACCTAATTAAAAATAACATTGTTTCGGTTTTAAAAATAAAAATTGAACTAGTAAATTCGTACGGTGAGCATTTTTTAAAGTTCGAACAAAAAAAGCAAAAATTTTCTAAAAAATGTGTCAGGATGACACATTTTTTAAAATAGATGTTACGATGACGGATTTTTACAAGAAAATTAAAAGCCAGTAATACCCTTCCTTCAATTTTAAATTTCTAAAAATTGTCATAATGACACGTTTTCCAGAAAATGTGTCATCATAACATATTTAACCAAAATATAAGTCAAGATGACATATTTTTTCAAAAAATTTAAAATCTAGTAGAACAATCTACTTTAAGTTTCACATTTTTGTTATTAAATTTCACGACACATTTTTTAAAAAATATGTCATGATGACACATTTTCTATAAAAAACGTCATAATGAAGAAGTTTTTCAAAAATATAATATCACAATAAATAATAGTTAGATTTACAGTTTATTTTTAAATTTTTGTTAAAAAAGTTGTCATAATGACACTTTTTCTAAAAAATTGTATCACAATGACTTTTTTTTAAAAAACATCTCATCAAACCGTATTTTACAAAAACCTACTTTTACATTAACTATAACCTACATTTACATTAACATATAATACTATTCCGACCAAAATATACCAGTATTTGAACTAAAATGCAAAAACTTTGTTGACATTCGTCCACGCCTTTCATCGTGAAACAACGTTCTTTAAATGGTAATTTCTCTTCAAACAACGTCAAAATTAAATTGTTTTAGAGCACGATTCTTGCAAAATAATGTAAATTACATTAACTGTGTTTTTTGCGTTTGCTAAGTATCAAAAATTATAAAATTTAGTGCTGAAGTCGATTATATTATGATGGAGAACGTAAAAAATTAGGTAAAAATGTAAATTTAATTTGAGTAACAATGCCAAAAATACTTGTAATATTGTGTTAGGTATACGTAGGTATTGAAAAAGTTATAAAATTTTGAAATTTGTTACCTAAATTATAAAAAAGCGAGTCAAAACTAAATATTCTAACCCTACTCTAAACTACTTTGCTCCACCTTATTCTACCCTGCTCTACCCTACCCTATTCTACCCTAAACTGCTCTATTCCACCCTAACATACCCAAATAATATTTAAAAAACCTGTCTAGTAAAGCTGTTTTTTGCCATTATTCAGAATACTACAACCATTAAAAGTGTCAACAACAGACCATTGTGAAACGTTTTTAATAAATAATAAGGTTTCCGGTTTAAAAAATGAGAATCACTTTCATGATAAAACACGAAATGGCTGTAACTTTCTTTACAAAACAAGAAATGGCAAGAACTTTATTTAAAAATCACAAAATGGCAAAAACTTTCTTTACAAAACACTGAATGGCAAGAACTTTCTTTACGGCGCAAAAATGGCAAGAACTTTATTTACTAACCCCAAAAATGGCAAAAACTTTCTTTATAAACAAAAAACGGCAGGAACTTTCTTTACAAAACAAGAAATAACAAAAAATTTCATTCCAATGCCTAAAAATGACAAAACCTTTAATTTTCTTGCACTGTACAAAACATTTGTTGGTCTGCACGGTGCAGTTCTTTTTAAAAAATTCATTGTGCCATTCCTTTTGATGCTATCAAAATAAAAATTGTTTTAGTAGCTTTAAATTAGTCTAGACTAAAAATAAAAAACTGTACTTGTTACCTAAAATACGGCACATATTGCACTGTGCAATAATTTTTTAAAAAATTCATTTTGCCATTCCTTTTTATACTATTGTAGAAAAATTTATTTTATTCGCTTTGCATTAGGCCAGACTAAATGTTGTGACAATATTTGTTACCCAAAATGGGACATAAATTCCACTGTGTGTAAAACAAAAATAGTTGCACTGTGCAGTCAAAAAAAATTTCCAGCATGGTGCAAAAAAACAAAAAATTCTTCAAAATGGTGCAAATTTCAAGGATGAACAAGTTTATTACACTTTAAAATCTCCGCAAAAATTGAAGAAAATAGCACTAAAACAAATTTTGTTATCGAAACGCCACTTCAAAAGATTTCCTCTCGTTTTTACTCTGAAAAAAGACATCCACCATGAGCGGCTACAGAGTTTATTGGAATCAACTTTGTACTGAGTTAACTTTGTTAAGGAACAACTTTGAAACATCACAATGGGCTTTTTTTAAGCCCTCAGGAAAAAAGCCTTTTTAATTTTTTAAATTTATAAACATTTTTTTAAAAAATGGCAAGAACTTTCTTTACAAAAAATAAAATGGCAAGAACTTTCTTTACAAAAAATAAAATAGCAAGAACTTTCTTTACGAAACATAAAACGGCAAAAACTTTATTTACAAAACATAAAATGGCAAGAACTTTCTTTACAAAACATAAAATGGCAAAAACTTTCTTTACAAAACATAAAATGGCAAGAACTTTCTTTACAAAACATAAAATGGCAAAAACTTTCTTTACAAAACATAAAATGGCAAGAACTTTCTTTACAAAACATAAAATGGCAAAAACTTTCTTTACAAAACATAAAATGGCAAGAATTTTCTTTACAAATCATAAAATTTTAAAATATTCAAAAAATTCAAAAATAGCAATAATAAAGCTTTTAATACCTAAATGTTCATACTCATTTGAAAGAATTAAATTTGTATAGCATAATTAACTATTTCCGTTCCATTTCCCACTTACTATAATATAAATTGACAGTAAACAAGAAATTAGATATTAAAGTAATAAAAACTAAGCTTTTAGCCTACCAAACAAAAGTCAACTAAGCCTAAGCCTACTAAGCCTAAGCCTACTAAACCTAAGCCTACCAAATCTAAGTCTACTTAGCCTAAGCCTAATAAGTGTAGCCCTCTTAAGCCTAAGCCTACTATGACAGAACTTAATAAGATTAAACCTAATAAAAATAAGCCTACTAAGTTTAAGATTAATAAGCTTAAGCCTACCAAGACTAAGCTTACTGAGCTTAAGCCTACTAAGCCTAAGCCTATAAGCTCAAGCCAACCAAACATAAGCTACTAAGCCTAAGCTTACTAAACCTTAGCAATATAAATATAAGAAAACTTGGCAAACCAACAAAAAGCTACCGTGATCTATTTTATTGTCTATTATCTTCTAATAGACTAGTCAAAACACTAGCACGAGACACTATAAAACATAATAAAGGCTAGATGAAAGCTCAATTACCATTTTCTCACAAGTTTGATAAAACGCGTTTAATGTAGTCTTTAATGCGATACCGAGAAAGGATGTTGTTGAATGAAATGAACCCACGTTCCCAAAAATTTTATTCATAAAAACTCTTTTTTGTAATATTAAATTAGGCTTCTTAATGGGCTGAAACTTTTAGATCAAAAGTGAATAGAAAGAGCAGTTTTTGCATGATGCAAAAATGTAGTTTGGTATTAGACATTAGATTACAACGAATTATAATTATTATGCATCGGTTTAGTAGACTTATACTTAGTACCATTTGGTTTAGTAGGCTTAGGCTTAGCAAGCTTAGGCTAAGTAGACTTGGAAAAATTTTGTAGGCTTTATTAGGCTCAGGCGTAACAGAAACTTGAGCTAAGTTCACTTAGGCTTATAAGGTTTAGCAAGCCCAAAATCACCAAGTCTTGGCGTAGTATGCTTAGAGGTAGTAGATTTAGTACGCTTCAGCTGAGTTAGGCCCAAAAAACTTAAGCTTAGCTAATTTAGGCCTAGTAAGATGGTGCTTAATAGGTTTAACCTGTGTAGACTTATCCTTCGTATTAGCTGGTTTAGGCTTAGAAAGCTTACAGTTAGTTTGAGGTAATTTATGGCTTAGTTTTGTAATATAATACGTTGCCATTTCTGGTTTTGTAAAGAAAGTTCATGCCATTTTTTCAACTTTTCAAAATCCAACTCTCATAAATGTGTTATCACTTTATTTAAATGCAAAATAAATATTCTGATGCTGTGGATATGATTAAAAAGGGTGTGTTTGTAGACCGGTACGAGGTAGTGAATGTTTGACAACAACTCTTGGAGATGTTTTAATTGCTATAAAACAAGGTTCATTTTTAAGTTACAATTGATAAGAATACTGTAATTTATTTCAAAAGTTTGAAAGTTTAAAAAACTGCACCGTGCAAAGCTAAAATTGGTTGCACTGTGCAAGCAAACTAAACTGCACGGTGCAATAAAGAAAATGTTGCACCGTGCAGATTTTAAAACTTTTAAAATAAAATTTAAAGAAAAATAATATTTTTGAACAACAATAAAAATTAAAGTTATTAATATTGACAAGAAATTGCAAAATTTTAAAAAAGTTTAAAATATGCACTGTGCATTACAATTTTTACTGCATTGTGCAGTCAAAGTTAATTGCACAATGCAAAAAAACAAAATTTTAAATGAGTAGTATTATTAATACTATAATAGTGAGTATTACAAAAAAGGTCTACAGTGCCGAAAACGGTACTACCAAACTTTTTTGTAAAATGGTACTATGTAGTATCACGTACTATATAGTACTAAAATACAAAATATTTAAATTTATCAATACAAGATAGTGTAAAATCTTTTTAAAAAAGGTATTGTATAATTCAAGCCAAATGATGCTATATAGTACAAAAAGTGATGCTATATAGTACAAAAAGTGATGCTGTATAGCACTACAGAAAAATATAACTAAATTATTCAATATATAATAGTACCAAACTATTTCAAAACGTACTATAAATTTTAAGTCAAATGTTGCTGTATAGTACGAAAAGGGATGCTATATAGTACTAAAAAACTTCCAGCACTACTGCTCAACTCCTCGGTGCACACAGTCGTACCCACTTAAAAACGGCTGCCATTTTGCTCTTCTGCACCGCAATCTCATTTGTACTATTGGTTCTATTCCTCAGCACTCCAACTAACGGCGCGGTACCATCATTTGGTACCGAATTCGATTTCCTCAGCGTTTTATGATCCTTTGTGCCACTTTCATCAAACACCTCGTCCTCATCCTCACTTCCGTAGCAAATCTCTTCACAGAAGCCGAAGTGAACGTGTCGTTCCGGTGATTGAATCTGGTTGAAATTATCGACCGGTGAAGCGGATGAACAAGTCGACCGGTCGATATTGTCATCGAGTTGTCGGATTGAGATTCGTTTGCTTTGACGACGGATTGGAGCTGTCGTTGTAGGACTGGTTGATGCTGAAGAGTCGGGAGTGGTGGATGTTGAGGTGCACAACATGCTCGGGTTGGTGGTTTCGTCGAGTGAGAGCTTTGGGACTCGTGCTGAAATTTAAAAAATTTAAAAAATTTTGAATTAAAAACTTTTTTTTTTAAATTTTATATTTATAAAACACGGTTTCATTATTAAAAAAAGCAAAAAATTAAATTTTAGACAAAATAGCAAGAACTTTCTTTGCAAAACAAAAAATGGCAAGAACTTTCTTTACAAAACAAAAAATCGCTAAACTTTCTTTACAAAACATAAAATAGCAAGAACTTTTAAGAATGTGACTGAATGTTACTCATCGTATAACTTGTCTCCTGCAGGCTGCAGAAAGCAAATTGCATCATTTTATGAAGAAATGGCAAGAACTTTCTTAACAGAACAAAAAATAGCAAGAACTTTCTTTACAAAATAAAAAATGGCAAGAACTTTCTTTACCAAATGTAAAATGGCAAGAACTTTCTTTACAAAGAAAAACAACTTCAGTACGTACTTTGCCCCCAGATTCATCAAATAATACTAACATATACGTAGAAACACACGTATGTATCATTACTTTATACCTAATGATTTCAAATATCTGTAACTACTCCCCAATGAAAACTGACGTAAGAAAGAGTTGGCACTGCCAGTAGAGTAAGCACCACAGTATACTGTGACCCTACTTTCACTTGGGTTGATGTTTGCTACGAGACTGCTGGATTAATTAAACTTTTTTCTACTTGGATTAACAATAAAAGATTACTCAAGATGTTAAATGAAACGAGATCAAAAAGTTAATAAGTGAACTAATAGCTACAGTATGGTAAGAAAATGTACCTACCCTACTACTTATTAAGATTTTAAAGTGACGTGACGTAGAAATCTTCAAAATTTAAAAATGGCAAAAACTTCCTTTCCAAAGCAACAAATAGCAAAAACTTTCTTTAAAAAACACAAAATGGCAAGAACTTTCTTAAAAAAACATAAAATGGCAAAAACTTTCTTTACAAACAAAAAACAGCAAACTTTCTTTACGAAACAAAAAATGACAAGAACTTTCTTTCCATAACAAAAAAGATTAAAAAAGAGAATCCAGAAGTCAATTGTAACCCCATAACTCATTTACCGTACCAGTATACACCATACCCCTTACTAAACGACGTATTATACTTCACGTATCATACTATCCAGCACTATAATGAATTAACAAATTTTTACATTACAATAAGTGTCACCATTGTTTTACAGTCCGCAATAAAAATCTATATCAGTCCAGTTTTTACTCACCACTCCCCCCCCCCCTTAGATGCGCTAGTTCTACCATGCCCTAGAAATTTCAAACCAAGACCCCTGGTCCAGTATTAGTAACTGTACTGCATCGTACTCTTTTTCTTCTCTCTCCCCTCCCTCCCCCCCCCCTTATTTTTACATATTTATATACGCAATAGCTCTGACAATCCACAATATATACCTAAACATCTTAAACAAGCTCCTTAAGCTTTCAAACTTAACAAAATAAAACTAAATGACCAACCCCCCTCCTAATGCCAAAACAAAATCGACTTAAAATACGCCTCTAGGAAGTGGGAAAAACAATAGTTGAAGCTAAGTTTGGCCCTAAATAACGAAACTTTTGACGTCGAGCAGCTAATCTTACCATGGATTGACGTACATCTTCGAGACCTTTACAACCCCCCCCCCTTCTCGTTATTACTATTGCGAAACGGAAATTGAAATGAATTTTTGAAACACCAGTGCTATTTTTAAAGCGAAAGAAGATTTTTTCAATTTTCAAAATTCGCGCTTTGAAGTTTAATGAATAAACCTTAATTTACATTGAAAAGGCTGTAAACAAAGTTATCGCGTAAATCTGGCGGTTGCAAAATTTAAAAAAAATGGGCGTTCAAAGTCTACGAACTTTTTATGATTTTAAAGTGGTAAAGGGGTTATGACATGATATGACATACTTGCCCTAAAGGTTTTTAATTTCTCTTGCACCGTGCAAAATATAACTATTTTCATTGCACCGTGCAAACAAATTAATTCCGGTCTGCACGGTGCAAGCAAATAAAGTGATGTAATGACAAACTTTTTTACAAAACCAAAAAATCTTTTGTTAAAAAATATAAAATGACAAAAACTTTTTTTACAAATCTTAAATAACGCAAAAAATTAAATTCATTTGCACGGTGCAAACCATGTTTTATATTGCACGGTGCAGTCATTTTTTACAAATTCATTGTGCCATTATTTTTAAAGCAATCAAAGCGAAAATTGTTTTACTAGCTTTTTATGGTCCCGGGCTAACGGTTTGTAACAGCATTTGGTATTTATAATACGTCAAGAATAGCACAGAAGAACCTATTTTTTAAATTGCACGGTGCAATCACTTTAAAAATTATTATGCCATTCTTTTTAAAGCTATAAGTGTAAGAACTGTTTTAATAGCATTGTATATGTGCAGACTAAAAGTTATAACAATATTTGTTATCTAAATTACGTCAAAAAAAATTTGTTGCACGGTGCAGAAAAATTGAGATATTGCACGGTGCAAAACCTCTAAAGATATGTTGGACCGTGCAGAAAATAAGGCTTTTTAACATTTTTTGAAAAGAAAACACCAAAACATTCTTTACAACCCCTAAAATTGCCAAAACTTTGATTACAAAAATATTTTTTAAAAAACTTACGGTAATTCTACTGAAAACCTCTCAACCTTTTTGAAACTCAACCACGCGCAAAAAACACCCTTTTAGAGATAATGAAATAAGGTAAGGGTGCGGTAAAAACGTAAACTAACAATTGTTTTCGTAGAAGGTAGTGACTGCAACCGCAATTAAAAGTCAAACAAAACAAAAAAAAACAATTATAACTTGGAACGACGACAACAACAGCCTTATATCCAGTTCCGCGTCTTGAGATGTTGACCTTTAAGTGACATAAGTTATTTGCGGTAAGAAGACTCCGCCGTACCAAGCCGTACCCTACCCTACCCTACCCTATCCTACCCTACCTTACCTTACAATACACTACCCCCTCATGAAAGTATTGTAGTACCTAGCGCACTATGTGCCTTTTCACTCCACTTCTACACGCGAAATACCGTAGCTCTAATCATACTATACAGCAGCCTCCTCTTCCACCATCCTCTTAAAAAGCTAAGTTGACCATACCATAGCCCATCACGTTTCTCCTCTATCACAACCCACCAAATATCAAAATCTCAGCTCTAAAACGTTACTCAAAAACATGAATATACCTCTAATATATACAACCCAAAACAACAAGTTTTATAACTTTTATATGTAATCCATTGAAGCTTTAAAGCTCTAGACATTAAAGATCAAAAACAAAAATAAAGTAAACTTTGACTCAACTAATAAAACGTGTAAATAAAAGTTATGATCCTATACCAAAGCGTTCGGACCAAGACCAACTTTCAAAAACAAAAACATTAGTACGAGTTCATAAGGACCTAGATGAAAATAAAAGGCATAGAAATCAAGGAAGAACGAAAGGGGGGAGGTATAGGAACGAGAAAGGAGTTGAGAGAGGGGAGGATTTGAAATAGGGGGAGGGGGGGGAGAGGGAGTGAAGGAGTTGAGGACGGGGGGGTGTTAGGGGGGGGATGTTAGGGAGGGGGGAGGGCGGAAAGGGATTTACACAGGGTGTGAAAAAAGAGGGGGGGGGGAGAGCTAGAGGTTGAAAGAAAAGTTAAGATGAAGAGAAAGGGTAGGATTAAAAAAGCGGGGTAAATGATCAAATACAAAAGCTTCTAAAGCATGGTAAAGTACAGTCAAATAAAAGCAGTAATGAGGTAAAGTGCATAAAAGTCTAGAGTAAGATAAAGGCCATGTAAACAAATAAAACAAACCCAAATTGCACTTCTATCATTATAAGACGGTACTTGATTACATAAAAGCTTTTAGTATAACTTGGTTCTAATCGATATTTTTTTAATTTAAAAATAATATTAACTGTCTCTATGTCTAAATTCAATGCGTATTTTATCAAAAAATAAAATTTCATCCTTCGTATAACCTGTCACTCAAGAACTGTCATTGTCTTATTTTCATTTGTCTTATTTCAATTTATTTGCTTGCACGGTGCAAATAATTTAATATATTGCACGGTGCAGCCATTCTTTAAAAATTCATTGTGCCATTCATTTTAAAGTCATCAATGTAAAACTTGTTTTACTATCTTTTTATAGGTGCAGACAAAAAAGTAAGACAGTATTTGTTACCTAAATTGCAATACGAATTGTACCGTGCAAAGGAGAAAATTTGTTGCACTCTGCATAAATATTAAAGGATTGCACAGTGCAGTAGAAATTATGAGTTTTAAAGCAAAGATGGGTTTAAAATGACATTTTTAAGTAAAAAAAGCAATAACTTTCTTTACAAAACTTCAGATAGCAGAAACTTCCTTCACACAACTTTAAATGGCAAAGAGTTCTGTTTAAAAAGCTAAAAAATAGCAAGAACTTTCTTTACAACACAAAAAAATGGCAAAAAATCCGTAACAATAACAAAAACCTTTGCAAAACTCACCCATTTTGTCTCGCTTGGGCGTGGTAACGCGTCGTGGCACTCCAGCAAAACTATTCGAGCGTTTGGGCCCGTACAAAGCGTAGTCTTTCTTCATTAACGGCACGATAAACGCCATTGTTCCAGCACGCTGCAATGATTTTTGAAACCCAAAAATAGGAAAAAAAATAAAAAAACATCACGAGCGTTCCGAATTCTTCACGGCTTTCCGGAAAACAAGAAAACGACCAAGAGATTACTCGCGACCAACACTTTAAGCATTTGGGTATGAATAAGACAGAGATCAGGAGAGGGGGCCAATTGGGCAACATAGACAATATATAGGTATAAAGGTCTTCAAAATACTAAAATCTAAAGTAAAATTTATATTGTTACATTTAACAAATCTCATTTCTATTAATTTTATAATCAAATCCCACAATTTCGATTGCACCGTGCAAAATTTAAATTTTCTTGCACGGTGCAACGAACTTTTGTTTTTAGCGCAAAGAAATTTATAACAAATTTTAGGTAACAAATATGGTTTTACCTTTTTAATATGATCTAATAAAAAGCAGGTAAAACAATTTTTTCTTAGATTGCTTAAAAAAGAATGGCATAATGATTTTTTCAAAAATGACGGCACTGTGCAACAAAAAAAAGTATTTTGCACTGTGCATACAATTAAAATTTTTGTCCTTTTGTAGCTTGTAAAGAAACTTTTTTAGTTTGGGAAAAAAGTTCTTACCATTTTTAAATTTGTAAAAAAAAGTTGTTGCCACTTTTTTCCTTGTAAAGAAAGTTCTTGCCATTTTTAAGATTGTAAAGAAAGTTCTTGCCATGTTTTAGTTTGTAAAGAAAATTATCACTATTAAAATTCTATATTTAGATATTTAAAATCAAATTTAACAATGAAGCCTTTTTTCAATGATACAAATAAAAGAAACCTTTATATACTACATCAAACAAAACGCTTTTGTTGTGTTCAGTGTATAATAATATATTGACATATAACACACTGTTCAATAGCTTTTAAAGTGCAATAATCTTTAACAAAAACCAAAAACACTTGTTATTTTATGCAAGGCAGATCCAAATAGCGTAAAATATGTGTTGTATTAGGTACAAGGGATTAAACAACAGGTGATCTGATCGGATCTGCTCAATGTTTTATGTTTTTACCAAATTAGAGGAAGTAAAGCAAGCATACAAAGTGCTTATCCTACCCTACTCTACTCTACCCTACCCTACCCTACCCTACCCTACCCTACCCTACCCTACCCTACCCTACCCTACCCTACCCTACCTTGCATCACGCTACATGCCCTAGCCTAATCTTACCTTAGCTTTACCCTACCCCTAAAATTGGCCTCTTTTTGTACTACCTTAGAAATTACCCACGCCTTACTTTTTCCATACTTTAGTGCTAAGTTTCCTCTACCCTACTCTACCTATATTTCTTCCTTTCTTATTATTCTACCTTACCCTATTCATTCCCACGCCTTAGGTTTGCCTTATGCTAGTGATAGCTTTACTATTTACCTAAACTTTTTGACCCAGTAACTACTAGCTATTTTTGACCAATTTTATGTTAGACAACAAGCTAAATTCTTTCGTATTTTACAAAACGTACAATTTGTTACCTAAAACAACATGTTCACAAAATTTATAAAAAAACGTTCTTTTTGAAAGGTTACACAGAAGTCAATCACTTCCTTCAGAACATCCTGAAACTCCTTCGCTTCCTCCAAAAGATTAGCCAAATTAAGCCAGAAATTAGCCGTTAGCGTGCTGTTCTTGCATTCTTGGAAGTTTGTTTACAAATAAAGTAAAAATAGATAACGAAATTGAGAAATTGCTACAATTTTTTTGTTTTTTACTTTGTAGTACATTTCTTCGACTTTTTGTAATTTTTTACTGCACGGTGCAGTTGGTAAAACAAATGGCAAGAATTTTATTTACAAAACACAAAATGGCAAGAACTTTCTTTACAAAGCAAGAAATGACAAGAACTTTGTTTCCAACCCTTAAACTTTCAAAAATCTTTAAATACATGAGAAATCGCAAGGACTTTCTTTACAAAGCAAGAAATGACAAGAACTTTCTTTACAGTGCATAAATTGACAAGGCCTTTCTTTACAAAACAAAAAATGGCAAGAACTTTCTTTACAAAACAAAAAATAGCAAGAACTTTCTTTACGAAATGCAAAATGACAAAGACTTTCTTTACAAAACAAAAAATGGTGAAAACTTTCTTTACAAAACAGAATATAGTAAAAATTTTGTTTACAAGGTAAAAAATCACAAAAAAAAAGATTTTTTTAAAACTTCCGGCTGCACGGTAGTACCTTATTCCTCCAACCCTACCTATAAATAAAATTGATTGCACCGTGCAGAACCACAAAAAAACAAAAAACCAAAAAAAATCTTTAAAAACTAAAAAACACTTTTTGCATCACCCTCATTCCTGTTATTGATTCAGAATCCGTGTTTTATTGTTTTTTTGCAACAAAACCCAGAAGACTAATAAAATTTAATGAAGACCGCAAGCCGAAAGGACCATTAATGGAGTATCAGAAAGTGTTTTCCTCCTTGAAAACAAATACATTACTTTTTTAGGGGAATAGATAACAGTTAAAAACGTCAATAGAATTCATTGTTGTTTGAACGTGTTTTTGGAGGAATATAAAAGTTTGCACTGTGCAATAAATTTTCTTTTCGACACAGCAAAACTTTTTAGCGTATTTTAAGTAATAAAATATTGTTAAGACATTTAGTCTTGTCTAATACAAAACTAATAAAACAATTTTTACTTTCACAGCATTGAAAAGAATAGCACAATAAATTTTTTAAAAATGACTGCACTGTGCAATTCTAAAAATCCGTTGCACTTTATACTTTTTGACTTTTTTTTTGTTTTGTAAAAAATGTTCTTGCCATTTTGAGCCTTGTAAAGAAAGTTCTTGCCATTTCTTGTTTTGTAAAGAAAGTTCTTGCCATTTTTCCTATAAAAAAACCTAACACAATTACAAAACCCTGCAAAGTTCTAAGCCAAAATAAACAAACATAAAGTTTGAAAAATTGAATTTACAAGCCAATGTGAAAACCTACAAAGAAGCCCTAAAATACAGTACGATTGTACGAATCTTCAAGTGCAAGCTTAAATTGAAGTATTATTGAATTAACATTTCAGAGAGATTTAAGCTACAATTACTTGTTGACAATATAAAATGCACTTGTGAGTTTAAGACTAGAAGAATGTAATAGAAGTGTATGATTATAAGATAATTAAGCTTGGCTTCTTCTCGATTAAAATGCACGTGCAAAAGTAATTTTATTAACCTGTAGGGCTACAGTTAGAGATAACCTACTCTATTTTATAATTCCCCACCCTACCCTACCCTACCCCCTACCCTACCCTACCCTACCCTACCATACCCTACCCTACCCTACCCTACCCTACCCTACCCTACCCTACCCTACCCTACCCTACCCTACCCTATCCTACCCTATCCTACCCTACCCTACCCTACCCTATCCTACCGTACCCTACCCTACCCTATCCTACCCTACCCTACCCTAACTAACCTACCCTACCTACCCTTTCATCATTATTTTGACATACCCATAACCTTAACAATCGCCCTAATAACCTTCTTTTATCGTATCACAAGATATACCACATTCTTCTGCATTCAAAATTTTTCTCCCCCCCCCCACCTTCATAATAACTTATAAAAACGGTAACTCTACCCAAAAAAAACAAGAAAAAACATAAAATAAACCTTTTGAACGTTTGAATTGGTCTTAATTTTCGAGTATTCCAACGTTCAAAAGAGATCCCATGACTCAAATGTCTGTTTTCACTGTTTTTTATAAACCGTCATTAATTCCCAATCAAAAAATTTATGGCTGTTAAAATGTTTTGGCAAAAATAAAGTTTGGCTGTGTGATAAATGGAGTGAAATTTAAGGAAAGGGGGTGGTTTTTGAGCTTTTGAGCTTGAAGGGTTTCTGATCTTTGGGTTAAGGGTAGTTTATGTTAAATTAGGACTAGACGTAGGACTAATGCTAGGGCTAGAGCAAGGCGAAACCAAGGCTAGGGCAAGGCTAGAGCAAGGCTAGGGCAAGGCTAGGCAAGGCTAGGCAAGGCTAGGCAAGGCTAGGCAAGGCTAGGGCAAGGCTAGGGCAAGGCTATAGCAAGGCTAGGGCAAGGCTAGGGCAAGGCTAGGCAAGGCTAGGGCAAGGCTAGGGCAAGGCTAAGGCAAGGCTAAGGCAAGGCTAGAGCAAGGCTAGGGCAAGGCTAGGGCAAGGCTAAAGCAAGGCTAGGGCAAGGCTAGGGCAAGGCTAGGGCAAGGCTAGGGCAAGGCTAGGCAAGGCTAGGCAAGGCTAGGGCAAGGCTAGGGCAAGGCTAAGGCAAGGCTAAGGCAAGGCTAGAGCAAGGCTAGGGCAAGGCTAGGGCAAGGCTAAAGCAAGGCTAGGGCAAGGCTAGGGCAAGGCTAGGGCAAGGCTAGGGCAAGGCTATAGCAAGGCTAGGGCAAGGCTAGGGCAAGGCTAGGCAAGGCTAGGGCAAGGCTAGGGCAAGGCTAGGGCAAGGCTAAGGCAAGGCTAAGGCAAGGCTAGAGCAAGGCTAGGGCAAGGCTAGGGCAAGGCTAAAGCAAGGCTAGGGCAAATCTAAGGCAAGGCTAAGCCAAGGCTAGGGCAAGGCTAGGGCAAGGCTAGAGCAAGGCTAGGGCAAGGCTAGGGCAAGGCTAGAGCAAGGCTAAGCCAAGGCTAGGGCAAGGCTAGGGCAAGGCTAGAGCAAGGCTAGGGCAAGGCTAGGGCAAGGCTAGAGCAAGGCTAGGGCAAGGCTAAAGCAAGGCTAAGGGCAAGGCTAGGGCAAAGAGCTAAAGCAAGACCTAGAGCTGTCCTACATGTCAAAAACTAAATCATGCTTTTTTAAAAATCATTTGTTAGAGCCAGCCGTTCAAAATTTCCCACCCAAAAATTCTTTTCAACTCGGAAAATTGAAACGTCAAATAAAATCCGAACATTCACGTAAGAATTAGAAAAACGTGTGCAAACAAAAAAGTTCAAAAAGGAGTTCACTCATATTGGCCATTAATTTTAAAACATAGAAAATTGACTCAATTTGCAACGTTGATCAAGAAAAATTGTTGAAATGGCAAGAACTTTCTTTAGAAAACAAAAAATGGCAAGAACTTTCTTTACAAAATAAAAAATGGCAAAAACATTCTTTACAGCCCAATAAATGACAAGGGTTTTCTTTACAAACCATAAAAACCAATATAAAATTGTATGACAGTAAAATCTGTTTATAATCAATAAAAATAGCAATCTCCGCCTAGTTGAGCAGATAAAAACCGTCAAATTGTATGTTTATTTTTGTAAAAAGTAATAAAAAGTGGGGAAATTCTGTTGAAAATCATATTTTTGTCAATGATAACAAAAATTGATAGTTTTAGCTCACAAGGAAAATAACTTTCTTTATGGAACGGTAAATGGCAAAAACTTTCTTTACAGAGCACAAAATGGCAAAAACTTTCTTTACAGAGCACAAAATGGCAAAAACTTTCTTTAAAAAACATAAAATAGCAAGAACTTTCTTTACAAAACTGAAAATGGCAAGAACTTTCCTTACAAATCAATACATGAAAAAAACTTTGTTTACAAAATGTAAAAATCCTTACTGATAGCAACAGACCATTTAATTTTATTAAACCCATTTTTTTCTACCGTATTTTACCACCCCATCCCCTCATGACAAAAAACAAAATTCATGGTAAAAGTATTTTCGATCCGTCTCTTTTTAAGCACAAATATTGTAATGTTTACCGTAGTAAACAATGAATCTTGATAAGAGATTATATCAATGTTTATTTGTATTCGAAATCACATGACTTTATGGTCAAGATGAGTCTTTTTGTGTAAAAAGTGCATCTGGTTTGAGCTGGGAAGTGGATATTCGAGAACTATAATAATATTTTTTATTTGAGCAATCTTTGATGCCGAGACTAAGTTTTTGAACCCTAAATTTAAAAAAAAATACTGATTTTTTAATTTTTTTAACTTCTTCATCAATTCAACTTCTGTGGAGGAACGTATTTTACTAAAAATATCACTATCGCTACACTACCCCCTAAAATTCCCAAGCTCTGAGAATCTGCCCTGCCATAGAAATCTACCACCACCTTAAAAATTTACTTCTATCCTATTTCCTTGACCTACCCTTCCGTATGGAACCTTACCCTGGCCTAGACAGAACATCGCTCTTGCAGAACCTCTGTTTTTATCTTACCCAACAAAGTCCTACCTTATCATTACCCTAACAACAAATACGGTGCCTAAACGTCTACAAAACGTTCCTATTGGCTTCAAAAAACTTTCTTTTACAGTTCTTTTTTTAATTTTTGATAAAAAACAATTAAAGTAATTAAAAAATTAAATTTTCAGATAAAGTTAGTTAAGCTTTTTATCTATTAGAGTTCTTAGTAATTAAAAAAAATATGTTTAAAGTTAGAAAACCTTTTGAACTTTAATAATTGAGCCACTTTTACAGTGAACTGTCCATAACTTTGTTTACAAAATGAAAAATAGCAATAACTTTCTTTCCATAACAAAAAGAATAGCAAGAACTTTGATCACAAGGCTGAAAATGGCAAGAACTTTCTTTACAAAACATAACATCGCAGGAACTTTCTTTAAAAAACAAAAAATGGCAAGAACTTTCTTTACAAATTAGAAAATGGCAAGAACTTTCTTTCCAAACCCTAAAACGGCAAGACCTCCTTTTAAAAAGCGGGAAATGGCAAGAACTTTCTTTGCAATGCAGGAAATAGCAAAAAATTTCTTTACGGAACAAGAAATGAAAACAATTTCTTTACAACCTTATGCCAAGCTTTAATAAAAATTTTAAAAAAGTTCAAAAACTCAACATTAATACCTAAAAACAATATGAAACTGCTTCTAAATTAAGCCTTTCTTCAAAATAAGCGGGTGGTCTTCCCCTAATTCGGCCCATAATCGCCTCAGTCGATAAACCTAGAAATATTTTGGGTCAGTCTTTAACCCCTGAGGCATTCCTTTTTCAATGAAATTTGGCATCACCTCATTCATAAAAAACACTGTTAATAACAAAAATATTGTTACAAGTTGATAACTGTTACAAAACCTGGAAAACAACTTTTTATAGTCATAAAGTTGTCTTTTGAAACTTTACCGAAATGATTGATCGAGTGTAAACAAAGTTTTCGATTTATTTGTCGTGGCAACAAAAGATTATGAAATTGATTGTGGTATAATGGTAATATAAGTCTTTTTACTACCCTTTGTTTAATTTTTAAAATTATTCGGTTCATTTTAAATAACAATATACTGCAAGATGCAAAATAAATAGATTATAGATTTTTGCACGGTGCAAACGATAAAGGACTGCACAGTGCAATCCGCAAAAATGGGCCGCACGGTGCAGTCTATTAAAGATTTGCACAGTGCAAGAAGCTATTATTATAAGTCTTTACAAAATGCCAAACAAAAGATAAAAATGGTAAAAACTTTCTTTCCAATCCAAAATTATAATTCAGATTTTATAAAAATCAAAACAAAATAAGCTCAAAATGATAACAAATTCCCCTAAACCAACAATAAATCATGTCAAAATGCTCAAAACCTTTTTCATGACGAAAAATACAATACTACAACGTTACATACAATAACAACTGTCCTAATCTTAGTATTCCAAACAAAAACAATCAAAAAAAATCTTCAAAAACCTAATCATTTAGCTTTAACAAGCTTTAATTCATCGGGACAACACAGTAAAAAACTAAATCTATAGAACATCTATCATTTCTGAATGTTTGATGGCTTTCCGACTTCAGCCTTCCAAACTGGTACATCTTTGGCTGGTAAAGGAGTCTTTCCTTGAATAATATCGGCGGCTTTCTCCGCTAACATTATAGTAGGTGCTTGAAGATTGCCGCTGACAATAGAGGGCATTACACTTGCGTCTACTATCTAAAATATCTTTTTTACAGTTATAGAGAGAAAACACGTTTAAAACCAAAAATTTTTAGGTCTAAGCTGCAAGCTGACAAATAATATAATCTTACCCTTAACCCTTCCAGACCATAAACCTTCATTGTTTCTGGATCCACACAAGCGTAAGTGTCACTGCTTGGGCCCATTTTCACTGTACACGATGGGTGATAAGCAGATGCCGCTTTTTCTTTTACAAATTTGTCAATCTGAAAAGTAAAAATTTTAAAAACTGCAAAAACTTTCATTACAGCCCGAAAACTAATGTTTTTTAAATCAAAATCAAAAAATATGTTTTAAAATATAATGCAGCGCTAAAATCCGTATTTTACACTACTTTCTACCGCAATAACTTTCTTTCCATCTAAAAACCAAATCAAGCCTAATAACATCCAAAAACCGCCTAAAATACCTGTTCATCAGATTGGCAGTCCGCGCCCGGTGCCAATTCCTCTCCTCTGAACTCATCGAATGCCTTTTGAGCAAACAATTCCCTCGAAACTCTGATACATCTTCTGAATTCGGCCCAATCCTCTTCCTTGGCCATATAATTCGGATCCATCAAAGGATGTCTTCTTGGGTCATTGTTCATTAACTTGACATAACCTTTGGCCTGTGATCTCATTGGTCCTACATGAACTTGATATGCATGACAAGTACCATTAGTGCGTCCATCATCGTGCACAGTAGACGGTAGGAAATGGAATTGAATATCCGGGTGAGGAATCTGCAAAAACTTTGTTTACAAAAATTAAAATGACAAAAACTTTCTTTCCAATGCCGAAAATGGCAAAGCCATTCTTTTCAAACCAACAATAGCAAGAGACTTGTTTCCAACTTACAAAAATAAACCTACATCAACCCTGGAACGACAAAATCCTCCAGATTCCAAGTGACTACTAGCTGCTAGTCCAGTCTGATTGTAGAACCATTGAAGACCAGTTTTAATCATGTTATGAGGGAATTTCCATGAACTCTTGTCGTACAATGTGATTGGCTTAGTGCATTTCTAAAAAAATATAACTTTGTTACCTAAAATATTTTTATAAACCGGCAAAAACACCATTTTACTAACTAAGCTTCTAAAACACAATATTTGTTATCTAAAATATAAAATTTACCTGTTGAACGTAGATCTCCAGATGATCTTGCAAATTCTGCCCCACACCAGGTAAATCGTGAACCATCGTAATCTCCAAACTCTTGATATGATTTTGAGGTCCAACTCCGCTCAACATCAACAACTGTGGTGTATTGATAGCACCTCCAGATAAAATAACATCCGATTCGCAGTAAATCTTCTCCCTGTCGTATGAATCAATCTGTCTTGAACCAAATAAAGGATTTTTCTGCCTGATGTATTCGACCCCAATTGCCTTTTTACCATCAAACAAAATCTTCGTGGTCAAAATGTTTTGGGAAGTGATCAAATTCGGTCGATTAAGAATAGGATGTAGGTATGCAACCGAAGCACTTTGTCGTTTCCCTTTATAAACTGTCATATCCATCGGAGCCGTGCCTTCTTGTCTGTAGCCATTCATATCGTCCGTGTAGCCAATTGGATGAGTTTTACCAGCATCCATCCATGCCTTATGTAATGGATTATCACATTTTCCTTGTGACACTTTCAGTGGTCCATTGTAACCACGATATGGATCATCTGGACCTGTAGACAACTCGTGAGTTTGTGCCTTTTTAAAATAAGGTAAGCAGTTCCTAAAAATGGCAAAAAACATTAAGAAAACATTTTAAACCTCATTTCCTCCTCTAAACGTCATGAATAATATAAAAAAAACCTACTTATAAGACCAATTCTTGCATCCTTCAGCTTCCCATCTATCATAATCCATAGGATGTCCTCTAACGTACGCCATAGCATTCAATGAAGTCGATCCACCCCATACTCTACCCCTAGGCCAGTAAAATACCCGGTTATCCATGTGCTTTTGAGCCATTGTGTGATAATACCTAAAACAAGTTCTTTTCGTAAAAAAATGTTAATTTACTCCCTACCAGTTATATTTATCGTTACAAAGGTTGTACATAAGCGCTGCCGGCATGTGAATCTTCCAATTATACCATTCATCTTTTGGCCCAGCTTCCAATAAAAGTACAAGATTATCCGGATTCTCGGTTAAACGATTTGCCTGTAAATTGGACCTATGTTAATATAACTTAAAACATTTATAGTTTATCAGCTTTATATTTATTTTAAAAGCTTAAAACTAAGTAAGGGAGACTTCAAAGATTATTTTAAACAAGAACCTAGTCTGTTTTCAAGCAATTTTAAGATAAAACTAAAAAAGATGTAATATTGTTTTAAATGCATAATTTTCTCTTAAACTTTTTACAATAATTATAAAAAAAACTTGATAAACCCATGCCAAGATTTAACAGAACAATCTCCAATACCTTCCTCATCTTCTCCTAAAAACAAAAACAATAAGAATATTTAAAAACTTACCAAAACACAGCCAGCAGCACCTGCACCTACAATAATATGCGTAGGTTTTTTGTCTCCAATCTCTGGCGTGAAAGTCCCAACTGTTTTACCACCCCAAAATGTATCCCTCTCCGCATGTCGGCATCTAGCACTAAGTTGAAGACATCTAAATGGTACTACTTGAGATCTGGACAACATTTTGGGCCCAAGTTATACCTGAAACGTTTCACAAATATTAATAACAAAGAAAATCGAGAAAAAGAATGTAGATTAGACATTAAATATTATGAAAAATATTGTATAAATTTCAAAGAGCAATCAAAAATTAATTAAACAAAGAGCAGAACGTTAGGAACGCCGTTTTTACGTGAGATTACAGCAGCTTCAGTGAAAAAAACGTCCAAAAAGAGATTTTTCGCGAAAAATTCTTTCTCTTTTGTTAGACTTGGCCCGACAAAAAATGTGGCAAGGAGGGAATTTGAATTTTATGAGTAAAGGAAATTAGTTTATAACCTCGTAAACACCTACCATTTTTTATATTTGCATTTCTTAGCATTCGACTTCAAAAATATGTTAAACATCAGGTATCTAGTGCAACAATAAAAATTTTAAAGTTTAGGCAATATTTTTAAAAATAATTAAATTTATTATAGTAAATTTATTAACAAGAATGCTATCCCTACTACAGGTAAAAGAAAAATAATTTTTTTTATTATATTGTTCAAGGTGCGTTAAAAACCCTTTTTAAATTTTGCAATAGAAAGATCACAAAATCCTTATCAATATCAAGTCAAAATTTTTCGAATTCAAATCCAAGCCCAAAACCCCGAAAATATTTTCTAAAGTAACAAAATTATTAGCTACAGTCTGCCATATTAACCTCGCAGGCCGCCCGACACATAACCCGCGAAAAAACTCCTTTTGAATTTCCACTGCACCGTGCAATCAACAATTCAATCGCGCAAATTTCTCCTTTTCCAAGGTCGAAAGATTTTTGACAAATTTGGAGGTCTGAAAACCTCAAAAATCCTCAAAAATTGCGGCCCCCAAAAGGCGTTTTTCGCGACAAACGGTTTGCACCGTGCAATCAATCGGTAAAAGAAAGAGAGTGTGTGATTTGAAGTAACGGGCAGAGACAGGGACGGAGCGCGAAAAGAGATTGCGCAACAGTAAACAGAGGAAGAGAGGCAGACTTGCGACAATGAGAGAACGTTGCAATGTGAGAGGGTGGAATTGCGACAGGAAAAGTTCATTGCGATATAAGAGAGTGGTCGGAGAAGGTTAGAGAAAAACAAAAATGGCCAAATTCTTGGGATATTGAGATCTCCAAATTTATCAAAAGTCTTTCGATCTCGGAAAGGGAATTTCGGTGCGTTTGATTTGCACGTGAAAAGCACGGGAATTGATTTCGCACAGTGCAATGGAATTTCAAAAGGGGTTTTGGCAGATTTTGGAGTTTGCAGTCTGCGAAGGTTGATGGCAGTTTGGGGCTGATATTTTTGAAGATTTCTAGAAATATTTTTGTGGTTTTGAGAGTTTGATCAAGCCAATGAGAGTTTTTGGGGATCAGGATTTGTTTCGCACGGTGCAAGATTTTTTGGGTAACAAACTGGGTTTTTTTGTTCTTGATGGGATTATTTTTAATTTTTCCGGGCCAAATGTAGACATGAGAAACGGGCCGGGCCCAATTTTCAGGCCCGGCCCGATCGTAATTTTGCTCAGGCCCGGGCCAAAATTTTTTTTACGTGGAAACGGGCCGGGCCTGAATGTTAGGCCCGGCCCGTTTCTCATGTCTAGCCAAATGTCGTTCAGAGTTTCAAATTTTAGGTAACACTTATATTTTTTGTTAAAAACGTTTGGGTTTTGTCAACATATTTCATGAAATCTGATTGCTTCAATTTAGGTATTTAATAAAAAGATATATTTTCTACAGTTTTCGATTTTGGATTGGCTATTTTAGGTAACAAAGTATAGTTTATGCTATTTTATGTTTAAAATCTTTGTGTATTTGGTAAATTTAGGCAACAGAATCTTCCTTTATGTCTTTCCTTTTATTTGGGTAAGAATTGGTTAGTTTGAACTGTCTTTTACCTTATTTTAGGTATGAATTTGTGTTTTTTACAGTTTAAAAACGGTTTTTTCTTTAAAAACTGCGTTTTCGCGATTAATCGTGGGTGTATAAAGCTTTTACAAAGTAAAAACACAACTTTTAAATAAAAAACTTTATTAGTCAAACCTTTAGTTATATTTAGACTATGTGCAATATCAATATAGAACTTCTACAACGCTTAAAAATTTGGCACCAATTTACAAAATAAAAATTTGAAATTTATGGGCTTTATAAGACAATAGGAATGTCAATTTTATATGACAATAGGAAGGTAAATACAATTAAAACTAAAAAAAATACATTTCTAAAAATTTTTTAGATATAGGAATTTTTAAATTTTTAAAATACAGATGTGGTACGTTTCAAAACGGGTTTTACTGGGTACAATAAGGGAAATGTAGGACAAAATAAGGTGAATAGGGGTTGGAGTGACATTAAATGACTTTGAAAGAGTTAATAAAACATCCAAAATATGAAAAATAGGTAAAGAAAAATAATAAAAGATAATGTGAAAAAAAATATATTTTATAAAAAGTCAAATAGAAAACGTCAATAGTAATACAAATCAAATAAAAATCAAAATATTGTACTAGAAAACAATTCAAAATCAATATATTGTACTAAAAGATCACTCGTTGTTGTTGTTAGCCACCGGAACGGGCTGTACAAAGTCCGGATTCACAAACGTGAAACCTTCGAATTCGCTTTGATCCAAATTCATCAAGAATAGCCGATCAACGGGCGTCAATTTGGGGGCTTCATGAGTGAATTCGGCGTCGAAATTGCTCACATCGTCGGCTCCGCGCTGAAATTTTGATTTTAATAATTTTTTGTGTAAAATTACTGGAATTTTCTTAAATTTAGTTAGTTAGATGTTGAATTGAAGTTATAGGCAGTTTCGTTTGTTTTATTGTGATATAATGGATATTGTAATAGATTTTGCTACTTTATTCTAACTTATGTACGAGCGAATCCAACTAACGTACGCCCGAATTGAAAAATCTGCACGGTGCAGTCTTACTTTTTGTTTCACAGTGCAAAAACATTAAAATTAATAAAATCAATTCAAAAACGTTTATTTTGGCAACAATTTTAAGAGAAGAACAACCAGTAGTAAGTAATTTTGTCTTAAAAATCTGAATATAACTCTTGGGTGGATATATTGAATAGGATAAGGTGTAATATGTATAAGAAATGTCGTTCGTATTTAAAAAACCAACTCCTTATGAAGAATTTTGCAGTTAAAATTGAATTTTCTGATTGGGTATTTGATTTGTTAAAAAGCATACAAAATTTTAAATTTCAAATTAAAATTTTAAATTTTTTGAATTTTTTTTAAATAGGTAAGATGAAATTCCTTCAAAAAATGCCGATTTTAACTGCTGGAGGCGGGTTGAAGACCAATTACAAAACAAGTATACTATAAACAATACCAGTGCAAAACTACAGTAATACAACACTACAAAGAATACGTAAAACAATACATAATAGACAAAAGATATCTATAACAACAGAAAACAGTAAAAAAAAGCTAATCACACTATCTAACAGCAAAACGTATAATAACAAAGTCCAACGACTAGGTAATAAAGGTACAAAATACTATACAACAATGATACTTCAGCCCAAATACGATGACTTTTTAAGCAGTCGATTTGATCAATACGTGTAATACGAACATGTCGAATTGGAACTCGATAACACAATGTAAAATACGAAAAAATAATCTAGTACTATACGAAAAAAACGAAAAAACCAAAAGAAGAATATGTATGGTACAACATGATGAAAATGATAGATAATATGGTTTTAGAAAGAGTATATGTATATGTTTTAAGAAGATATATTTTTATAATAAAAGATATAAACTTTTCACATTTTATCAGCCCAAAAAGTTTCGGCTTATTTGCACAGTGCAAAATTAATGAAGCTGCACGGTGCAAAGTGTTTAATATTCTGCACAGTGCAATTTTATTAAAAGGCTAGTTGCAAATTGTTTGAGAACTTTTGGGATGACTAAATATGTATTTTATGACAATTTTTAAAATTTTGCAATAACTTTCTTTACAAAACAAAAAACTGTAAGAAATTTCTTTACAAGGCAAAAAACTGCAAGAACTTTGTTTACAAGACAAAAAATGGCAATAAAGTTTAAATTTTCAAAGTGAAAAATATATTTTTCTAAATGAAAAGCAACCTTAATTTAGGTAGAAAAAAGATATCACAGTTACAATCACAGTAATAAAAAAATAAAATACGGTTTACAACTACAAAAATCAATAAGATAGGCCTACAACAATATAGCTATACATCAAAACTAAGAAAACAAAGAGTTTAAATACCATAGCCTTCTCTTAAAGATCACAGCCTTCTCTGGCCAAAAAGTTGTTTCCAGTGATTTCGATTTCGACTGGAGCCGCTTCTTCGTGATAGGCTGGATTGGTGTAGTTAAAGTCACTGAACTCGTCTCCTTTCAAATTCTCCAAAACATCCCACTCGGGAGGGGTCAATTTCAACGGCAATTTCAAAAACTGAGTGTCAAAGTTCTCGGTGGATTGGGGCTCGCTCTAAAAATGGCACCATACAACATCTATTTACAGTACGATACGAAAAATATTGAAAAAATACGAAAAATGTTGAAAAATGGGTAATACTTCACAATATAAAATACAAATACTACTATACGACAAAAAACCCAAGTGAAATAAATTGCATTAATCAAGGTATTTAAACCTTAATTTCAATACTGCACAGTGCAAGGGCTATAAAAATATTTTGCACTGTGCAATGACTATAAAATTGTCTGCACGGTGCAAAAAATAAAAGGCAAGGTTAGATCTGTAAAGGGGCTAGGCCTGGCCGCTAGTTGGCCATTATTAATTAAGTTAGTGTACAATAACTAAAATACGATGTACACCTTTGTACGAAATAAAAACTTTAAAAACTTACGATTTTTGGCTTGAATGGAGGTTGAACCTGTCGGTTTTCGATTTTCAACCAGTCGATTCGACGGAAGAAGGGGTGTTCCTAAAATTATATTTTAAAATTTAAAAAAAGTTGATTTTACAATCTAAATTATTAAAAATTTTTTTCAATTTCATTTACTACAAAATTTAACCCGCCCGCTTAAGAAATTCACCCCGCCCGTCACCCACCGTAAACTTTTATCCGCCCACCTAGTTTCAATAAAGTTTATCACAATCGGCGGATAAAATACCCCATTCCCTACTCGCATTTTACCCCGCCCACCTACCATAATATCCCTCTGGCCCTGAGCCGAGCATCCCAATCGTTTTGATGGAGCTTTTTGTAAGAATCCTTTGCAAATTAACACTGATTCTTTTGACATTGATTTAGGGTAAGACACGTTGTGTTCGGTAATGGCTGTGAAAAGTTCGTCTTCATCTTCACCATCGAATGGAGGTTGACCAGCCAGCATTTCGAATAGTAATACTCCGTATGCCCACCAGTCCACTGATTTTCCATATGGTTGGTAGAGAATGATCTGGAAAAGGTGGGTTAAAAATCACAATTTTCATCGTACTTTGCAGTATTTGCATGTTTATTACACTGTGCAGTCACATAATTTTTGCACCGTGCAACAATTTAATTTTTTGCACTGTGCAACAAATTTTGTTTTTTCCACTGCTCGCCATGTGTCGTCTTTTAGGTAACAAAGATTGTCATAACCTTTAGTAAGTACTATCAAAAAGCTACTGAAACTCTTTTCAAGTTGATAGGTTTAAATATAATGGCACAATGAATTTTTTAAATATGACTGCACAGTGCAGTTCGCAAAGTATTTCGTATTTTACCTCAGGCGCAATATAATCAGGAGTACCACAGAAGGTTTTGGTCGTATTTCCATCTACAATTCCCTCTTTACACATTCCAAAGTCGGTGATTTTGATATGACCATCTCTTTCCAACATTACATTATCCAGCTTTAAGTCACGGTAAATAATGCCTTTGGAGTGGAGGAAGAATAAGCCTACGGCGATTTCGGCCGCGTAGAATCTAAAAGAATGTAAAATACGAAGGGTCATTATTTCCTTTTGATTGTTTATTAAAAAAGTTGATTTTTAGGTAACAAAGGTGCTATTTTAGGGGTAAATAAGGCTATTTAGGGGCTAAAGTAAACCTACACAGCGACGGGTTCCTTGAACTTTCCGACCTGTTGAATCTGGTACATCAAGTCACCACCGTTAACAAACTCCATCACAAAATATAAACGATCCATGGTCTGGAAACACGAGTGTAATGTCACCAAGAATGGCGGCTTTTCAGGCAGTGCTAATACTCGTTTCTCTGTCATTGTGCATTCAACATCATCGTCCTGTATAATAACGTCTTTCTTTAGGATTTTGATGGCAAAAAGCTCTTTGCTTTGCTTATGTTCGCCAAGAAGAACCTGAAAAAATGAAAATGACTTTTAAGGTTTGGGTCCCACCACGATTGTTTTTAAATGATATTTTTGATGGTTTTTTGGTATGCTGAAGTTTTTGCCATTTTATGAGTTGTAAAGAAACTTCGTGTCATTTTTTGTTTTGTAAAGAAAATTCTTGCCATTTTATTTTTTGTAAAGAAAGTATCTGCTATTTTTTGCCTTGTAAAGACAGTTTTTGCCATTTTACATTTCGTAAAGAAAGTTATTGCCGTTTTTTGTTTTGTAAATAAAGTCTTTCATTTCAATATAAAACTTGCCTTTCCAAACGATCCCTTGCCCAGAACGGTCAAGAAGTTAAAGTCCGATGCTTTGACCACATCCTTATTAAACACCCCCGTATCTTTGTTAATCAGCGACGCACTACTCTTTTGTCGTTGACTTTTCTGAGTCGAATTCAATTCCAACATCTTCTTCCTCAAACTCTCGACCTCATCTTCGTCTTCCGGAGGTATTCGAATGTTGTAGTACTCGCCTTCTTCATCGTTTAATAGCTTAAACCAGCCTTGGGTTGGCTCTTTGATTAGCTCGGAGATGCCAAATGATAACGAACCCATGAAATCGTTGCGAGAGGTTCGATCCCAATCCCAGACTTCTACTGATAGGCGACGGTCTTTGTCCGTTACTTCTAGTTTGCTGTAAAAATACAGTTGTAAAGAAAGTTTTCGTCATTTTTTGTTCTTTCCATTTTTTGTTTTGTAAAGAAAGTTTTTGCCATTTTTGGTTTTGTAAAGAATTTTTTTGCCATTTGATGTTTTGTAAAGAAAGTTACTACCTTTTTTTAAATTAAAAAAAGAATTTCGAGTCCCACCACGAAAACCCTGTTTTTAATTAAACTATTGTTTTTAGTTTAGAATGCCATTTTTTACCTTGTATTAGAATAAGTATAATAAATATTTCACAATTCAAAAAATTTTTTTATAAAAATTGAAAAAATCAAAGTTTAGGTCCCACAACGAAAATCCTGAACTTCAAGAAATCCGTAGTTTTAGTCCTAAAAACAACACTATTACCTTTTAAGTCGACTGAATAAACTAAATACAGCTCCATTTTCATATAGACACATACTTGTATCTATATTAATATACACATATCCCACTTACTATGTAAACTTCTCGTCCCACACAGGATTCAGCGTGGCTCGCAACGTGCGTGACTTCTGTTTGCTTTTGCCATGCCCATCATCCGGAATCAGTTTCAGCTTCACATACGGATCGGAAAGACCATTCGGGTCCATTGGAATCAGATTTCGAGCCTCCTTGACGTGAACATACAGTAATCCGTCTTCGACTTTGATGTCCAAGTAGATACGACCTCGTTTCTCCGTATGATCTGTACCACACATGTTTGGCACATAGCGCACACATCGATGATGGACGTTTGTGTCACAACATTGACATTTCATACCCTGAAGTTGAAGAATTTAGAAAAAATAGCAGGAACTTTCTTTACAAGCCAAAAAAATTTTGTTTTTAAAAAAATTAAAATGACAAAAACTTTCTTTACAAGACAAAAAATGTCATAAACTTTATTTACAAAGCTAAAAAAGTCAAAAAATTAATTTATCTGCACGGTGCAACGGATTTTTTGAATTGCACAGTGCAGTCATTTTTTAAAGATTCATTTTGACATTCTTTTTAATGCTATTAAAGTAAAAATCGATTTAGTAGCTTCGAATTAGACCAGACTAAAGGTGATAACAATATTTTTTAACTAAAATACAACAACAGTTTTTCTGCATGAAAAAGAAAATTTATTGCAAGTGCAAAAAAATGAATTACTGCACAGTGCGACTAAATTTATTTTATTATCTAAAAATGGCCAATACGTTGCCTTCTAGGCAAAAAATAGTTGGTTTTTCACAAAAATTGAAAACCGCAAAAACTTTCTTTACAAAGTGCCCTTACCTGATGAATGAGACCATAAAGAAGTGATCCACAATGATCGCAGAAAGTCGGCGATGAGTACGATTGTACCTTCCATTTGTGTTGTTGTCGTGGGTCATCCGTATCAACTCCCTTATCAGCACCAGGACAACCGAAATTTACAAACTCGTGGCATCGTTTATGGACCACCAGTGTGCATACTGTAACATTTTTTTAAAATTAATTATAAAATTTTTTAAATTTGATTTGAAATAAGTTACTAATAAATTCTGGCACGTATTTTACACGTAAATTTAAAGATTCGAAGCAAAACAGGTATTTTTATAGCTTGTAACAGAATGCCAAGAAAAATTAACTTTCGCGGGAAAATAAAAATTCAATTTTTTTATTGAACAGTTTTTTTTAAGAGTAAAATACGGTTAATAATATAATTAGTTTTGAAACTTTTCAAAGGCTTGCAACAGAATGCAAAGAAAAATTTATTCTGGCGGTAACGCCAAAACTTTTATTTTTTTGTTAGAAGATTTCCGAACGTACAACTTGAATTTAAAATACGTTGCAATCAACAATTTTTTTCACTTACTTTGACACTGAAATCCTTGTTTGTTAAGGCCCCAGAGAAAGTCTTTGCAATGTGAACAGAACGTTGGTTGTTTGAAGAACCGAGCAATGAATTTGTGAGATCTGAAATGACAATTCTTTCCAAAACTGTATTATTCAAAATGGTCAAAATCTTCAATTGTCCAAATTTTTTTAAATTTAATTTTTTTTAAATTTAAAATTTTTTAAAAAAGTTTTTAAAATAAACTTTTTTTTGAATTTTAGTTTTCAAATTTCTAATTAAAACACATTGTAAAATACGACTTCCAACTTGTTTGTTTTGCTATGATAAATACAGTTTAAAAACTTACTTGACTTCATGTACATTCTTCTGTCTTAATGCACCACGACGTACAAATGCTTTGCCTTCGATTCGTTGTGCTAAAAATAGAAAAAATTAATAATAGCCTTGATTTTAAAACGTATTTTAATATTTTTAGAATTTTTTTTCATCTTTTCAATTTAAATTTTTTTTTAAATTAATTTTTTTTTCATTTTTTCGATTTAAATTTTTTTAAAATTTTTTTATTAAATTTTTTTATTATTTTTGATATAAACACATTTTTATAATTTTACCCCGCCCATCCCCAATTTTATTCATTTTTCAGTCCAACTCACATTTGGCCACATCGCGTTTGGCCGCGGGCTTTTTAAACAATGGCATATTGTTTAAGGCCCGCCGCGATCACACCGGCCCATAAACTTTAAAAATTTTGAAGCGATTTGACACAAAACCCTTTATGAATAATGCGAAATCATATTCTGATACATGAAAAGCCCTGGGGCTGATAAAAGGGAGTCTCTAAAAGTAAAAAACGGTTTTTTGGAATACGACGCGGATTATTTAGTCGATCAATATACATGTATATCATAGGTTGGTGAGAGTTTAAAAATAGTTCATGAGAGACTTTCAAATATAGTTTAAAATCGACCTTTTATTGTTTAAAAAAGGAAATTGTACCGTGCAATTGATTTTTAGTTCTGCACCGTGCAACTAATTTTTTCTTCTGCATCGTGCAAAAACTTAAATTTTTTAAAACTGCAAAATTAAAAAAAAATTAAAAAGATCAAGTTTATCATATTTTAACATATTGTTAAAATGTCCTAAACATCATTTTTACGAATCTTCTTAGCTTGCACTTTAACCGAGCTTTTTTTAAAACTGCACCGTGCAACTGATTTTTGATTCTGCACCGTGCAAAAACTTAAATTTACCATAACAGTAAATTTAAAAAAAAATGAAAAAAACTAAACCAGTCGTATTTTAACACATCCTAAAATGTTTTAAAGATTAATTTTTTGAAATTTTATGTTTATATCTTTGCACTTTAACAAAGGTTTTTTAAACTGCACCGTGCAAACTATTTTTTGATTGCACCGTGCAAAATAATTTAACGTTGCACCGTGCAAAATTAATAAAAAGTGAAGCAAATTTTAAACAAAAATATTAAAAAATAAGAAAATTTAAAATACATTAAAATTTTTTTGTTTATATAAACGTATTTTAGCTTAATTAGACCTAAAAAGACCCTAATACAGCGTATTAATGAACTAAATTTTGCACTGTTCCCAAACAAATCAATTACAGCGGTTTCTCCCGAAAATAATCAAAATATTAATCAAGCCCATCACAAACAATTTATCATGATAAAAAGGAAACGTGATCGGTAATCAAGACCGGCGATCTCGCGCGATCGCCCGCTTCGGTTTGTAATAGTTATTAAGACAGGTGGCGGAGGGCAAAAGAATAAGATTTTAGGTAATAAGTTTTGCGAAATCAAAGAAAAATGGCAAGAACTTTATTTACAAACTCAAAAAATTGCAAGAACTTTCTTTACAAAATCTAAATTAGCAAGAACTTTCTTTACAAAACAAAGAACGGCAAAAACTTTTATTCCTAACCTCAAAATGCATTAACATAGCAAAAACTTTCTTTCCAGCCCTCAAAAATCCGTAAAAATCTATTTTTTAAAAATGTTTTAAAAAAATTTCAAAAAAAAACTTCCAATAATTCAAAACCTTGCTGTTATTTACGTTTGCCCATATTCACACTTGAAGAATGGGGAACGTGCCAAATATTCATTTTCGAATTGTTTATAGCCATGAAAAATGCCCCAAATGTTCCATTTTTCGCTTAATTATGGAATTATTAAATTTTTTACATAAAATACGTACGAAAAAAGTAATCTTTATGGTTCTTGGCGTGACATTCGCTTATTATGTTATTGTTTTATGGGCCGCATCGAAAGTGGCAAACGTGCTTGTTTTGCGGTACTTGAGAATATTTTAAAAGGAAATTTTGGATTTTTGAACTTTGAAGATTTAAAAATAAGTTTTCAGTAGTAAATTAGTCTTACTATACTTTTAAAAATCTAGTTTTAACTTGATTTTGACATAAAAGTTGCTATAAGTTCAATAAAGCCCAGTTTTTCAAAGGGCAGTTTGCGTCCTCGCTTTCTGCAGCCTGCGAAAGATATTTTTTTATTATGGTAGGTTAGGGCAGAATAAGATAAGGTATAATAAGTTAAGTAGAATTGGGTGGTCTTAAAAGCAAAAAAATCTTCAAAACGAACTCTGCGCCCTCGCCTGCTGCAGTTCGCGCATTTGAATTTAGATTTTTTTGCCGTAAAAGTTTCAAAATTATGTTGAACCCTTTAAAAACAAAACTTTAATGCCAAGTACAAGTTTTTTACTTTCTGCGGCCTGCAACTCAAAAAGTCGTTCAAAATGACAAATTTTGAAAAAAATTAAAGATTTTGCAAAAAGATCTCCCTAATTACCAAACCTGATGTCACAATTAACAAAAGAGATGTAACGAACACCCATTTCCTCATATAAACAGAAATAACAAAAAAAGTCTTACATCCTTTGATATTAATAACATCGAGTAAAAGTGCCGAGGCCATATAAAGACGTGAGGGGAGGCTTCCTTTTGCCATTAGACATATTTGTAATTTTTGATTAAATAAGAAAAAAAAACATGGGGAGATAAATTCACAGCCCAACACAAGATTTATTTCGCGTTTCCGCATCGTGAAGCCGGCTTTTTTTTTAAATGAACGTTTATACACCGTGCAGTCGGTTGAAAAGGTTTTTTACCGTGCAGTAGAAATTAAGGATAAAATATTGCAGTCTATATTATAAGGTAAGAAAAGTAAGGTGAGGCTGAAAAGAGAAGAAAGCTAGAGTAGGGTAAAGTAGGGTAGATAAGAACAGGATAAAACAGAACTGGACTAGAGCTAAAACTTTGCTTGAGCTAAGGCTAGAGCTAGAGCTAGAGCCAGTGCTAAAGCTAAGGCTAGAGTTAAAACAAGAGCCAGAGCTAGACTTAGAGCTAGAGATAGAGCTAGAGCTAGAGCTAGCACTAAAGCTAAAGCTAGAGCTGTAGAGCTAAAGCTGTAGCTAAAACTGGACGCTAAAGCTGGGGCTAAAGCTAGACTAGAGTTAGAGCTAGAGCTGGAGCTGGAGCTGAAACTGGAGCTGGAGCTGGAGCTAGAGCTAGAGCTAGAGCTAGAGCTAGAGCTAGAGCTAAAGCTAGAGCTAGAGCTACACCTAGAGCTAGACTACCCTAGCCCAAACTTTGGCTTTAGCTAGAGCTAAAGCCGAAGCTTGAACTAAAGTTCTTTTAAAAAACTCTTTAAAATCAACATTTTTAAAAAAATTTAAAATTTAAAAGAAAATTTCGGTTACCTGCTTCGCTCAGGATAGACGACATTTTTTTTAATGCCCGTTTAGGACAAGACATGTCTTTAATTCGGATCAATAAAGCTTCATTTTCCAATTGTAATGCCATTTTTAGAACTTTAAAACTTTTTTTAAAGTTTGAAAGACTTCAATTAGTACTATTATATAGTATGAGGTCAAATAGTCACAGAAAGTTGACGTTAAATAAGAAAACGTTTTCAAATTTTCAAAATTTTAAGTGAGTTAGAACAAAAACAGTTCAATGTAGAGAAAGGAAGACTTTCACAGACTATTGACAACCTTAAAGACCTTAAAACACCTCATTTTCGTAAAAAACAATTAGAACAAGGTGAGTTCAATTAAATACAAAAACATCATAACAACTTATAAACTGTGTTTTATATAAAGAATGGCATGAACTTTCTTTACAATATAAGAAATGGCAAGAACTTTCTTTACAAAACGTAAATTGGCAAGAACTTTCTTTACAAAACAAAAAATGGCAATAACTTCCTTTACAAAAAATAAAATTGCAAGAGCTTTCTATACAAGCCATAAAACGGCAAGAACTTTCTTTACAAAACAAAAAATGGCAATAACTTTCTTTACAAAAAATAAAATTGCAAGAGCTTTCTATTCAAGCCATAAAACGGCAAGAACTTTCTTTACAAGACATAAAATGACATCAACTTTCTTTACAAGTCATAAAATGACAACAACTTTCTTTACAAGACTTAAAATGACAAAAAATTTCTTTACAAGCCATAAACTAGCAATAACTTTCTTTACAAAACACAAAGTGGCATTCATTTTTGCACGGTGCAGACAATAACCTAGACATTTGTTATGTTGTTTATGAAAATTACAAAAGAAAAACTCGTTTTAAAGATTTTAACGGTTGACAACATCTCAAAACTTTTCGTTTTTCAAAAACGTAGACTTTTTTGAAAATCATCAAAATCTTGGTTTTTAATAAAAGCTTGAAATTACTGTAGCTAGAGCTATTGAAGACCCACCCTTTTTTCTTTACATCATCCTTCTCCTCCTATGGTTGTGCCTAAGTTACCCTACCCAAATCTACCCTACTCTATTCTATAATATCTTGCCGTGCCCTTACTGTGTAAAGCCGACTCCTTTTTATCCCCCCCCCCTTTCCGCAACCCCCTTTCATTTTCACTTTTATCTATTAGGTGCCAACATAAAGAACCCGCCATTTTTTAAAAGAAATTACAGAAAAAGTAAGGCGGGTTCTTTATGTCGGCGCCTAATAACTAATAACCCTCCTCTTTATTGTAACTCCCCCCTCCTCCCTGCCTCACCCCCTTCTTTTCTTACCAACCCCCCCCCTTTTTCTATTAAATTCCATTTTTTCCAAATGACAAAACTTTTGGGCCCAAAAAATTCAAAAATTTTGTTAGAATTGTATTGAAAAAGGCACATAAACGCATTCATTCGTACGTCAAAAAAGTGTTCGAATAAATGGGCGAATCTCGGCGTAAATAATAAACTCATTTGACTTGACTGACCCCTTTTAAAAACGTGTACACTTTACTGACAAGCCCACTTTTACTTTTTTAATACAAAGGTCTGTGTTTTTGAAAAAAAAGTGCATTTTAAAAATTTTATGACAATTTTTTGCTTGAATTGGCATTTTGAAAGATTAGTTTAAAATTTTTAAATTTAACCAAAAAATTTTAAAAGTTTAGTTAACACACGTTTGGAAAATTTTTTAGAACCTCTCATTTAAACTTTAAAATTTTCTTTATATTTCTATTTTTGCACGGTGCAATATATTTAATTAGTTTGCACAGTGCAATAACAAATAAAAGTCCGCAAAGTGCAAATAACCTTGCAGTTTGAAAAACAATGAAAACATCATTTCAAGCATTTAAAAATGCCGTTGATATTCACACTTACAAATTTTATTAAAATTTTTATATTACTTGAAAAATGACAAAATTTTTCATTTTTTTCACGGTGCAATGAAACTTTTTTCTCTAAATGTCAACTAAAACGTCTGTTTTATAGTACCGCAAAGACCCAAATACTGTTAAAAATAGCAATCACGATTCTGACAAGGTCTATCACACCCTTTCACAAAAAAATTTCATTTTGTTCCCATAGCACACTTATAAAAAAAATACCCTACCCATATAGCCTGCTCTACGGTGCCGTGCCCTACACTAAACAACCCTCAACCAAATCATATATTTGTTAAAACAAACAAGCCGAACAACTTCTAGGTATGCCTATTTTTACCCCTCCTCTCTATCCCCTCCCCCTCCCCCCCCCCTCCCCCCCCCCTCCTCTACCCTCTCCCCCCCCTTCCTCCCCCCCCCCTTTCCCGCCAACCCCTAGAATATTCCATTAAAAAGTCCACCTTCACTTGTTGCTAAACATGCTCCTATCCAAACATTAACGCCAAAAACAACCGAGGCGAACATTGTTGGAGAATTGACGTTTTTAAAAAGACCCGCAAAGGGAAGAGGAGCGAGGTTTAAATCAAATTTTACCATTTTTGCGTTTCAAAAACAAGGAAAATCGATTTAACGCTGCGAGCAAACTGTTTTGATTTGAATTTACAATTGAGTGGATGAAAATGAGGTTGAAAGTGCATTTGAAGTGGCATTATAAGCAGAAATTGGTTTTATGTTGCTTTAGGTATCAACTAATTTTAGTTTTAAAAAAATTTTAAATTTTTTCCTAAATTAAAAAAAATTTTAAAAAAAATTTTAAATTTCGGATTTTGACTTCCAACCCCCCCCTCGATTACCATGCCCAAACTTACACTCAGTATCAGGACTGTAACGTTTTGAAATTTTGGTGACAAATCGTGTCACAGGCTTCAGACAGCTCTTCGACCGCGGTTTCAGGCGTTCCAGCCGTCTGGTCGATGAGCCTGGTCGATTATCCGGCTTTATTGGGTCGGTATTCTCTTTTTCTTCCTTTGACTCTCGATTTAGTTTGTCTGGACTGCGAAGCGATCGAAATCGCTTCAAAATGTCTGGGAATTGACTGGTGCTCCGAGTGGAACTGGCCGCTTTTCTGTCCATTTTGAGGTGGGTAAAGGTTTGATATTGGTCAATTTGTAAGTGAATTCAAAACGTTTAAAAAGTGAAAAGTATTGAAGTAAGAAATTATAGTGCCATATGTAGATAGAACTGTAAAAAAGTAGCTTTAAGGGTGGTTGATGTCGCGGTAAATCGTCACAAAATGATACAGCATTGAACGCCCTTAGCTCTAACCCCGAGCCCTAACCCATAACTTTAGCCCAGAGACCTAGCCCAGAGCCCTAACCGAGAGCCCTAGCCCAGAGCCTAGCCCAGAGCCCTAGCCCATTGTCCTAGCCCAGATCCCTAGCCCAGAGCCCTAGCCGACAGCCCTAGCTGAGAGCCTAGTCTAGAACCCTTGTCTTAGCCTTAGTCCAGAGCCCTAGCCGAGAGCTTAGTCTATACCCCTAGTCTCAGCCTTAGCCCAGAGCCCAATCGAGAACCCTAGCCTTAGCCGTAGCTTTAGCCTTGCGTTATCTTTATTATATTAACCTTTCTATAACTTCTGTCCTTCTGTTTCACCCTGGCTATAAATCCCGTCCTACCGTTGATATAAGGCCATAAACTATTTGTAAAATAAAAAACCATATTGACATTTTAACTTATAGTTATTTTTAAAAAATGAAAAAGCGAGTCGTTGGTATAATATGCGCAATTATAAAGTTTTTAAACCCTCTTCTCGAAGAGCAACATCAAAAAACCAATTGACATGACATACAATTTCTAACCCCCTCCCTATCTTTCCTCAACCCCCTATTCCTCCCCCCCCCCTCTAACTCTTTTCAAATTTTATGTCCCCCCCCCCTAACCCCCTTCTTATTCTTTTCTCACCCCCCCCTACTATTTTCTCCCCCCCCCCTACTATTTTCTCCCCCCCCCCTCCTTCCCTCCTCATATTCTCCCCCCACCCTCTCCTCCTCCTAATATTTTATGCCTTCAATCACATTCTTCAAACCTCCTATATACTATAACAACATAAATCTCGAAAACAATATTCCCAATACGTTTCAGCTCAAATTAACCCAAACAAAATGGTTACCCAAACCGACCCCTCGCCTTAAGTTGTATTAAACTAATCGCCGTTCGAAATGAATCAAATTCATCAACTTTTTTCGCGGTTCGATTGCGGGTGGAAGGAGGCGATTGTAATGTTAGGGATAACACTTACATTACAGTCGCGATGACGCAAAAACAGTTTGGCGAACTGATTCCGAAAAAAAACGAGAGGTAAGTGATTGTAGTTGATTTGAGCTGGTATTGGTACGCTTTTGTACTTTGTTTAGACTTTTTGATTTGGAAATGGTTAATGTTTCTTAACATTGTCTAGGCTTGTTTATAGTGCGCTATAAATCAATTTTAGGCTTGTTTTACGCTAAAGTTCAAGAACTAGCTGGCCTTAGGTTTAACTTAAGCATACGCCTAAATATAAGCCTAAACATATGCGAAAGCCTAAACCTCAATAAGCTCTGCACCTGGTTTTGGCCCTAGATCTAGTCTTCCCTCTAAAGTTAGCTCTAGCCTTAGTTCTAGCCTTAGCAGTAGCCATAGCCTAATAATGAGTATACACGCGAGCATAAGCCATAGCCTTAGTCTTAGCTCTAGCCTTAGCCTTAGCCTTAGCCTTAGCCTTAGCTCTAGCCTTAGCCTTAGCCTTAGCCTTAGCCTTAACCTTAACCTTAACCTTCGCCTTAGACTCAGCCTTGACCTTCACACTAGCTCAAATCCTGGTCCTGGTTTTGGCCCCGGCCCTGCTCTTACTCCCGGTCATAACTCTAGCCCTAGCTTTATTAGCCTCACCTTAGCCTAACAAGTAGCCTAAACCTAAAACAAAAAATGTTTTTTTCATAAAAAAAAGTCTGGCTGAAATAATAATTACAAAAAAAATATTTTCTTATTTGTTTAGGAAAAACTCTTGAAATTTGAATAAAACGGAGTGCACTTGGATTCTAATTAGGCCATTATCCACCCTCTAACTTTGTTTTGTTTTTTGAGAAAAACAGCTGAATATCGTGACCAAATTTTTATTTTTTAAATTTTTTTTAAAATTTTTAAGCAAGTTAAAAAAATTTAAAATAAAAAGTTTTTTCTGCCGTTCAAAAAACCAAAAAAAATTATTTTCGTCTCATAAATTTTTTTTAAAACCAAAAAGTAGCACTTAACTGCACATTAATACTAATTAGTACAAAGTGGCTTCGCGTTTTTACTAAAATTTTAAGAAAAATATTTTTAAACTAAAAGTTTTAGTCATTTTCAAGCCTAACACGACCCTGCCCCTGCCTAAAGTTAGCCCTAACCCATTCCACACTAATAAAATATCAAAAAATGATAATACAAAAATACAATTCATCTTTTTTGTCATCCTGCCCTAAACGTTTCCATAATTACTTTACAATAGGGCTTCGTAAAAGGAAAAGTGTAATGTCTTCTTTACTTTTGTATTATAACGTCTGACGGGATGCAAATAAGTGGAAAAACTCGCCTAACTTCCTTTCCTTGCTAACTTAACTTATAAAAGCATAATTTTGGTATAAAACCACATTTTTTCGGTTTGTAGGTTTATATGGCACTAACTTTCTTTACACAACAAAAAATAGCAAGAACTTGCTTTACAAAGAATAATATTGCGAAAACTTTCTTTACAAAATAAAAAATGGCAAAAAATTTCTTTACAAAACAAAAAATGGCAAAAACTTTCTTTACAAAGTAAAAAATAACAATACGATTTAATTTTTTTTGCACTGTGCAAAATCTTTTTTTTGAATTGCACAGTGCAGTCATATTTAACAATTTATTGTGCCATAAATTTTGAAAAATTTCAAAAAATTTAAAATCCACCCCTAATAAAAATAAACAAACTAAAAAAATTGTAAACAATGTAAACCAATGTTAAACCGCCGAAACCCCTTCAGAAAGATGGCTAGAGTGCGATAAAAACCGCACTTTACTCATCTAGATTAGCTTACGATCGCCGAAAAAAGTAAAGGAATCTCTTGCGATCACTACCCTTTTACCTCAACGGTGAAGTTACACGTATAAAACAAATAAAAACATTGGGATGATCCTTTTTTGCGCGAAAAAGTCAAAATTGCAAGCTTACTTTTTGCTACCCTACCCTACCTTAAAACCTTTTCCCTACCAAGTCTTACCTTGTCATATCCTATTCTACCCGACACTTATGCTAGTTCCATCAATCCCTAGCCTTATTCATCCAAATTTCACTCTCAATCTATGATCTACCCTGTATTATCCATGCCTAACACTATTCCAATTTAAAAGTGCTATGCTTTGGCCCCGATCCTAACCCTAATCCAGTCAAAACCAGCCTAAAATGGCCGAACCAAAAACCAAAATTTTAAAAAGTTTCAAACGTTCCTAAAACAGCTAGCCCTAACAAATAGTTAAACATGAATCACATTGAAACTGTTTGTAATGTGGAATGTTGAAAAAAACTTTTTTCGAACGTGAAAAATGTTTATAAAATTAAATTGCCTAAAGGCATTCGAGCTATTTTATGACAAAGTACAAAGTTTTTAATGAAAGGCAAAAAACGCTAGGCGGTTTATGTAAATTCGTAAAAGATTTCCAAATTTTGACACTTTTTTATAAGTCGTTGAGTAAAGATCACAAGGCTGGGTGGGTGTTTTAAACTTTAAAATATTCTTTTAATTTTCTCTAGAAACTTAAGTCCAGGGTTTGTAAGCCATGTCTGTGCGAGCAATAGAGCTTTAAAAGATCTAAAATGTCAAAACGATGACCAGTAAATATTTAAAACAAAGTGACGACAATCATTTATAGTTTACTTGTTTTTAAACTAGCCACAATGCCAAACCTAGAACTATCCTATGCTGAAGACCCTTAACTTACTAAAATAACCATAATACGAGCCACTAATAGCCTTAACGTTCCTATTTTTGTATTATAAGCATACACTTTACCTTTGGACTATCCCTTATAAGTCTAAGAAGCTTCTTCGTAAGTCTTATTTGACCTTTTCAAGCCTTCTCCCTTCTAAGACTTATTTGACCTAAACCTTACTATCACAACTCCTTTTTTCATTTTATCACCACAATCACCAATCCCAAACATTCCCTCGAAGTACAAACCCAAAAAAAACCCTTTTTTTATAACATCCACCAACGTTCCATGCGAACGTTCCCCTCAAAAAACTGCTCTCAATGCGGCGTCAAATCAAATAAGGCCAAAAATGCAAATCCCGCAAGTAAACACATAGTAGAACCTTCCTCGCCCTTAAACGACATACGATATTGTAGAAAAGTAGGAAACTTTTCGAGGGCACGAAAAACAAACAATCGTATCACACATTCATGCTGTTCACATCAAATGTGTATTTGTTTACATTTAACACGTTCTTCAAACGGAGGATAGTACGTTAAAAGTGATACGTTTGAATGAGCGACTGTGTACGTAAGGGAGCTTAATGTTGATGACAGTATTAGGTTTTTAATGCTAATAATAACTATTGTCATGTGTTACGGTACGTTATAATGCTCTTGTTAAGCAAGGTTGCAACTAATTAACGCCGTAACAGTTGGACTATGTACGAGCACACTACTTAGGTCCTGGCACGTCAACAACGCGCACCTGAGATGTTGTGTTTAAATAACAGTCTAATATAACCGTAACACCAAGTTTAAGTTTAAAACCATAAAATTACATGAGTATTTAGCTGCGAATAACTTAAGGAGATTATAACACAGCAAAAATAATGTCAATAAACATACAATGTTTATTGCTTGAATAAAAAGAACTAGCAATCCTTCGTATTGTATGCCAAAACTCTATTTTAACAGTAGCATTTGGGTTTCGCGGTACATATTAAGTATTTAAAATATATAACACATTAACTGAATTAAGTTTTGAAAGTTTGCACCGCGCAACTACCTACATAACTATTTCTTGTCATTATGGAAACTTTAACCATGTTAGTAAACTTTTAAAGTACATAATTTTGTTTTTAATAATCTAATTTTGTATAAACCATTTACCTTTGATAACATTATCGATATAACGTTATCAATATTAGCGTTTTTTAATTTACCAACTTTAAATTTTGAAACAATTTTTCAATTTTACCCAAACCTAAAACCTCACCCAACACTGATAAAAGCGAGGATGAAACCGCTTTAATCAAGAAATAATTAAACAAAAACACACTTACCAAAAGCCTCGGACAATTTTCGCATCGCCAAACTGGTCTCCAGGACGGGGTCCGGCGCTTGGCCGTCCTCCTTCTGATGCGGGAAGGCGTCGAGGAAGCTGGCGGAGGGACGTTTGTCGTCGGTGCGGCATTCCGCGTTGCTGCTACCGCATTTGTCCGGCCGGAGTTGTCGTTGGTCCGGCGCTACCATTGCCATAATTTTAAACAGTTATGTGAAGGTAACTTTTTAGTACGTAATAGTGAAGTATTCGTGTGCAGTGAACCACGGTGAAGTATCGTGTGTACGCAAATACGGTGAAGTATCGCGTTTAATAAATTACAGTGAAGTATCGTGTGTAGTAGACTGCGGAATAAAACTGTAGTCCCCAAGTTATTGTCAAACTGCTGGTCGACGGACAATTGGCTGAACGTTGAAAAAAATTTTCTATCGTATATTGATTTTTCCGTTAATGAATAAATTCGTTTGATCTGACTTTATCCTTCTTTGACAAATATAGTAAAATTCACATGCACAAATTGTTCTGGATGACTCTCTATCTTCGTAAAATTTACTTGACCTTTTCCGTAAACACTACTCGTTCTTTTGTAAGATCAAACAGTTGCTTGAATCTTTTACTGTCAACAGGAGTAAATACTCTAGGCGTATTTTACAAAAAAGCCCTTGATGACGAGCTTGAAGAACCGAACGAGCCAGTCCAAGTTTATTACTTTTTAAATTCCGTTGGGAGCTGAGTGTCTAGAGAAGTGAGGATTAAGCCACGGTTTAATTAGTACCACGTCCACGAATTTCAATGTTTATAGCACAGTAAAAGTAAATGAAAAGACGAATTGCAAAGGTTATGTATTTTAGGCTTAGCTTTTTGACATCGATTTTTAGGGTTTTTGTGAGACAAAAGGGGTTGTTTTAGACAATGAAACAGTATTATAGCAAATGAAGTTTTAAAAGATGTCTGTTACTACATGTTTGAAGTACTTATATTAAATGTTATACCTAGTTTAAAATAAAATAACAATTAGAAAACCTAAAAAAATGAATTTTTATACAAACTATCTTTAGCTTTACTAAAAAAGTACATATAATACGTCTTTTACCCCACGTAATCAACGAAACACCTTACCCCACATAATTCAATGGCCTACGTTAAGTTCCGCAGAATTACCTAAAATGAACCTCACCTTTTCATGACTCTATAATATTATATTCAGAGTTCGAATTTAAGCTACGTTTATAAAAAACTCATCTTACATCCTCTAATAGTTTTAAAAGTATCAAAACACGAACCCATTATCATAATGTAGGAATTACTAATTCTCATGTTATACCAATAGACTAAAGAACAGATTTTAAGATAAAAATAACCCAAGTTTTATAAACTTGTTTTACTAGAGTATTTATTATAATGTTGCTTTAAAAATTTTTCAAGTTTAAAAAATAATGCCTTAATATACCTGTAAACAATAAAAATCATGCTTTTAACCCCACAAAGCCCTATTTCTTTAAGATTAAAATTTTTCTTGATCCTCCTAGACCGATAGCCATTCTGCATCAAAACAAAAAACCGCAAAAATATTTTTACTTTTTATCCTTTTCTTTCAGCCAGGCTCATCCTCAAAAAACAGCCTCAGGGAACAGGTGGAGTCGGCGCTTTTTTGCCGCCGGGGAAATTCGAGCCAAGCGCGCAAAAATTATTATTTACACAAAAATAATAGGCTAGTTAGTAAACTAGTTTAAAGAACAATTTGTTTGTTTGGCATGGGTTTTGGGGGGTTTTTAGATTTTTCAAGGTAGCATTAGCCCTAGCCAGTCTTGGCGTTAGGCGAATTCTCTGTCTTGACCCTAGCACTAGCCACAGCCTTCGCCCTAGTCTTAGACTTAGCCTTAACCCTAGCGTTATTTTTAGCCTTAGCCTTAACCCTAACCTTAGCCATAGCTCTAATCCTAACCTTGTCCCCAGTCTAGCCCTTAACCTTAAGTAGCCCTTTTTTCTACTCTAGTCCAAACTTAGCCTATCTTACCTTACCCTTACCCTGTACCCTGAGCCCTTCTGTCAATAACAATAACCGAATAAAAATTAAATTTACAATCTCCACCCCTTGTAAACCACATGCACTATCAGACAAACGTGTACATCGGCTTTCCCCTGTTCTATAACGTGGTTTTAGCCGCCGAACACGCGATTTGCATTGTATTAGACATCGGAATCTGATTTAAAGTGTAAATAATTACATTTTTAATCAGCAAAAAGGGCAACCGTATCTTTTTAGGGTGTTAAATTAGATAAAACAGAGAACCCGAGTGGAGAAATTTGGAATTTCCAGGAACATTTGGAATTATGATGACACAAACTTTGTTTACAAAGCTTGGAAACAATACAGTGTTTACAAAAAAGAACAAAATATATGTTTACAAAGCCATAAATTTACAAAAATGCTGTGCTTTTTAAGTTTTTAGAGGCAAAAAAATAAAACTACATTGCTATATACAAATAGCAAAAACTTTCTTTAGAAGCCATAAAATGGCACAAAATTTCTTTACAAAACGAAAAATGGCAGAAACTTTCTTTACAAAACATAAAATGACAAAAACGTTAATATATCTGCACGGTTCAACCAATTTTTTATATTGCACAGTGCAGCCATTTTTTAAAAATTCATTGTGCCATTCTTTTTAATACGTTCAAGTTAAAAATTGTTTTTGTAACTTTGTATTAGATGAGTTTAAAAATTAAAACTATATTTGTTACCTAAAATACGCCAAAAATTTTATGATGCGAAAAAGCAAAATTGTTGCACCGTGCAATATTTTAACATTCTAAAACCTTTTGAGTTGAAAGATTTTGCCAAATTACTTTAAAATCTACTGCTTATAGACAAAAAACCCAAAAAATCACACCTTTTATACCACAACAAAACGCAAGAACTTTGTTTACAAATCAAACGTTGACAAATCTTCTTCGTAAGAACCTAAAGTAAGCCTTAACCCTAACCTTAGCGAAGGCTCGAATTTAGACCAAAACCTCAAAATAAAAGGTGTTCCGATGAAAAATATTCCATTTTCTTTATTCTGGACTGATAAAAATTCTGGCCTCACCTATAAAAAAGCCCCTTTTCTTGTTTTTTATATGTTTCGATTAAAATTTTGCGAAAAATCGAGTCGGAAAGAAATAAGAGGATTGAAAAGTTTGAAAACAATCATTGAGACAGTTTTAAGCGACTTTAATGTTTCAGACAAGAAACATATTTTTGAGTTTTGAAATTATTAAAATTTGTATGATCTTTGATCATATTTTTAAAAATTGCAAAAACTTTCTTTACAAATCAAAAAATTGCAAGAACTTTCCTTACAAACCATCAAATAGCAAAAACTTCCTTTACAGAACAAAAAATAGCAAAAACTTCCTTTACAAATCAAGAAATGGCAAAAACTTAATGGCAAAAACTTTTTTTACAAAACATAATATGGCAAGAACTTTCTTTACAAAACAGAAAATGGCAAGAACTTACTTTATAGAGCAAAAAATGGCAAGAACTTTCTTTACAAATCAAAAAATTGCAAAAACTTTCTTTACAAAAGAAGAAATCGCAAAAACTTTCTTTACAGATCAAGAAATCGCAAAAACTTTCTTTACAGATCAAGAAATGAAAGTAACTTTCTTTACAAGTCTAAAAATGGCCAAATCCCTTTTTAACCCATTCCACCCCCTCCCTCTCCTCCCCCTACCTAAAAATCAATTTTTTATCCACCCAAAGCAAAAAAATAGCCTCCGCCGGTCTCCGCCGACCGTCCGCCGAATATTAAAAAACAAAGTACTAATACCAAATTCGCCCGCAATTTCAAGTTTACTAAAAAAAGAATCGTCCAATTTGGACTAGTACTCATCGAGAACGAAGCTTTTACTTTTCGCAGAAATACTTGGGACACCCTGTATGTGTATCCAAACATCATTACAGCCCTTTTAATAGCCATTTCATACCCCCACTAAAAATTCTACAACTCCCACCCTCCCCCTTACCCTTTTAGGTACTGGTCGTATATCATCAGACATACACATTATACTGAAACGAGGATAATTTATGTGTGATAAACGAAATTGTGGCCCAATTTTCGCGAAAAATTTATTTTTTGACGAACCTTGACAGTTCATTTTGACAACCGGTTGTCAGTTAACATAACTCAAGGCTTTTGCTAATTTGTTTTTTGAAACATGAGGGAAGAAACTTTGTTTACAAAGACAAAAAAGTTATAAAACGTGAAATCAAGTAAAAATGGCAAGAACTTTCTTTACAAAACATAAAATGGCAAGAAATTTCTTTAAAAAACAAAAACTGGCAAGAACTTTCTTTACAAAACAAAAAATGGCAATAACTTTCTTTACAAAACAAAAAATGGCAAGAACTTTCTTTACAAAACAAGAAATGGCAATAACTTTCTTTACAAAACAAAAAATGGCAAGAACTTTCTTTACAAAAAGGAAAATCGCAAAAACTTTCTTTCCATACTAAAAAATGGCAAAAACTTTCCTTACAGTCATTTTAACCCTCTAAAACGCCAAAAAATAAGAAAAAATGCCCTTTTGCCATAGTTAAATAAACCCAATTTCAAAAATTTTAATTAAGTTTTGAAAAAAATGTTCCAAAAGTTTAAAAAGTTTCAAAAGCAAAAAAAGTAAAAAGTTATCGAATATGAGAGAGTTCATGCACGTTAATTATGATGTTAAATGAAATTCGATAGTCCAAAGACAAACAGCCCGCTTTTACAAAGTAACATGAGTCAAAGAGATCAAAAGTTTCCAAAAATTGCGTTTTGTAAAGAAAGTTCTTGCCGTTTTTTGTTTGTAAAAAAAGTTCTTGCCGTTTTTTGTTTTGTAAAGAAAGTTTTTGCTATTTTTTGTTTTGTAAAGAAAGTTCTTGCCATTTTATATCCTAGAAACGCATTTTTATACTCTTTGTCAAGAAAACTAACCATTTCTATTGCACCGTGCAAACTCTTAATTTTATTGTACCGTGCAACAAAATTTGTTCTTATCACAATAAAGCTTTTGGCGCATTTAGGTAACAAATATGACTATAACTTTTAGCCGAGACTAGTAAAAAGCTATTGAAACAATTTTTAATTTAGTAGTTTCATAAAGATTGGCATAGCGAATTTTTAAAAAATGACTGCACAGTGCAATCCAAAACAAATGTTGCACCGTGCAGAAAAATTTCAGCCTATTTTTAATTTGTAAAGAAAGTTCTTGCCATTTTTGGTTTCAAAAAAAAGTTTTTGCCATTTTATGTTTTGTAAAAAAAGTTTTTTCCAAAAAAAATTTGAAAGCCAATTAGCTACGACCTATCTGTCTTCCCTCCCCCACAAGATAATATAACAATACGTTTTGGCCCGGAAATATTGTTTGGCCAGCCGGACCCATTAAATCATAATTCGAATTCCGGGTCAAACACAAATATTTTTTTAACATGATTTGAAATTTGAACTTTTATAGGCTTTTGACGTCAAATCTTATGCATTTTTCATGTCTTTTAAGCCGATTTTAAAAATGGCAAGAACTTTCTTTACAAAACGGAAAATGGCAAAAAATTTCTTAATAGAGCAAAAAAATGGCAAAAACTTTGTTTACACGATAAAAAAACAACAACTTTCCTTATAAGACAATAAATGGCAAGAACTTTTTTTACAAAAAAAAGTTATAAAAGTTTAGCTAAAAAGATGAGTTTAAGCCTAACATCTAAAAAAATATGAATCGGCAGCTTTAAATATTCTTTTTAAATTAAGCACCCTAAAGCATGTGGCGTGAATTATGAGTGAAATGTGGATAACACAAAAATAAGTCATAAATTGTAATTTATGACTTTTGTTAATATTTTAGGCCATTTCGTGGCTTTAGCATCAAGAATAGCACGTGAAAGTACTCTACTTTACCCTACACTACCCTAGCATGCTCAATCTTACCCTACCACGCTCTACAGTTTCATGCTCTACAGTACCACGCTCTACAGTTCCATGCCCTACAGTACCATGTTCTACAGTACCGTGCTCTACGGTTTCATGCTCTACAGTACCAACCCTATCCTAACATGCTTTACAGTACCATAATCTACAGCACCAACCCTACCCTACATGCTATACAGTTCCATGCTCTACAGCACCATGCTTTGGGCTAACCCACCCTGCCCTGATCTGCCTTTCCCTGTCAAAAAAGCAAACAGCCTTACCCTACCCTATGAAAAAGAAAACTATCAATAAAGTGACTGTTATGACAGACTTTCCATATGTGACATTACCAGAACGGCCGTAAAAGATCCCACTTATTGTTAATACCTTATCCTCTTTTACTTTACTGATTCGACAAACACATTAAAGTCGTAAAAGTGATCCTGAATTTTTATAAAGTCTAATAAAAAAGAACTTAAAAACTTGCACTTTTAATTTATTATATATGCACTGTGCAAAGAATTTGATGGATTGTACGATGCAGTAATTTTTTAAAAACTCACAGTGCCATTATTTTTAAGACTATCAAAATAAAAAATTGTTTTGATAGCTTTTTAACACTCCAAACTAAATAACTAAATGGTAAGACTATAGCTGTTGTCTAAAATACGCCACTAACTGGGTAGTTTAAAAAAGAAAATTTGTTGCACCGTGCAAAAAAATATAATACTGCACAGTGCAATAGAAACAAAAGCTTTTAAAAGACAATTAAGTTAAAATACAACCTGCATGATAGAGATTAGCAAGGACTTTCATTACAAAGCAAAAAATCGCAAAAACTTTCTTTACAAAACAAAAAATGGCAAAAACTTTCTTTACATCAAAAACTTTCAGAAGTTAAAAGCCAAAAACTATTCAGCCCTTCAAACCTCGCGAAAACAAGCACCTAAAGATGCGGCTAGAAGCAATATAAATCCGTGGCATGATGCTATCTAGTACTTGATGCGCTCTCAACTACCTAACTCCCCCCATCCTTAGGTCGAGCCAAAAAGTCGAATCTTATAAAAAACGAAGGGGGGGGAGGGGGGGAGGATTTGCGAGGAATAAAAAACTACCCATCTTGTAAATGGATTTCGGCCCGTGCGGGTTTTTCCAGTTTCGCCAAATAAATCCCCCCCCCCTCCGGTTCTGTTTCAATAAAAAAAAACAAATTCGCTAAAGTTCGCACGGATTTCGGAAAAAACGTTCAATAAAATTTGCCTATAACACTATAAACTTTGGGCTAATTTATTGTAGCTTTAAAGGGCATGGGGAATAAGGCTAAGAAAAGCTAAAAAATTTTTTGTTTGTTTTAAAAGCCTTTGCATTGTAAAGAAAATTCTTGCCATTTCTTGAGTTGTAAAAAAACTTCTTGCCATTTTTCGATTTGTAATGAAAGTTTTTGCCATTTTTTGTTTTGTAAAGAAAGTTCTTGTCATTTTTTGTCTTGTAAAGGAAGTTCTTGCCATTTTTTGCTTTTTAAAGAAAGTTCTTGCCATTTCTTGCAACGTAAAGACATTTTTTGCTATTTTTACTTTACTAACCAATTAACCTTCCTAATTTAACCCACTAACCTACAGTACCTATTTATTGTTATCCAACCCTATCCACCCGTAGCATCTGCCCATTTTCTGCTCGTAAAACGGCCTACGGGCATAGAAAAGCTTATCAAAGCACAAAACAAGAAGAAAATCAAATTTGGACGGGCACCTCTCAACGCCGCCAAATTATTTCCGCGAATAACTTTTGACACAACTCAGACAACATTACACTAAAGGTGTGGGATGAAATGAAGTATCCTTAAAAAAAATTTTTTTTGAAAAAAAAATTAGAAAGATCAAACATTTTAATTACAGTAATAAAAAAGTCATGCAGGTGCAAATTTGAGGAAAAAACATCAACTTTATTTACAAAACCAAAAAGATTAAATTTGCTATTTTCTTTACAAAGAAGCAAACTAGAATAAAGCTGTCGCCATGAGAATCCAATTAATATTACATAAATAACAATTCTTGAAAAGAAAAATAAAATAAAAGCAAAAGTTAATCAAAAAATAACCAAAATTAATAACCCAAGCCCAATCTAAGTCTAACTTTAAGCTTAAACATAAAGCTAAAACTAGGTCTTAAACGAGCCCATTTATTTAACCCTACCTTACCCTAATCTGCTCGACCCAAGCCTATTGGTACCTTAGCTTTGCTACTCTCAAAATTGTTCTCTTCTTGCCCTACCATAGTTATATCAATATCCATAGCCAATTTTTGCCCCTACCCTAGCCCTAACTTTCCTCTACCCTTACGTTGCCTTACTTCGCTTTACCCTGTTGATACTTTAGTTTACTGTTGCACTATCTTATATAGACTATACACCTTTTAACCGTACAGGACCTGCCAAAACAACATTCTCGATCCAACGTCACGCCCGATTGTTAGCTTTAGCACTGTTCGTTCAATTTTGTATTTTCTACATAAAACAAAATTTTATATGCAGTGGTACTCACTGCGTATTTTATCCCATAATCCACTCAAAGCACCTCTTCGGCTCAATTAAAGCACCTCCTCAACTCAATCAAAGCACCTCCACAACCCAAAAACTCGGTAACCGTCCACGTATTGGACCGTCCAACTTTTACCACGAATAATATCCGCGGCTATATTATTCATGAGACTTTTCACGTAGGACTTAATTTTTGTTCGCATCACTCATTCTTCGTCTTCTTTTTTCTAGATTTAATTTCCGTTGTGTGTGTGTGAATCTCACTTCACAAGTTTTTGGGACCCAATAAATTGGCCAAATTGCGCAGTTTTCCCAACAAAACAAAAAAAATAATAAATAAAGGCGAGTGGTTTTGGTTTGGGTAACCGTTTATTTTTAGAAGGAAACTAGGTTTTTAAGGTATATATAATAAAAAATATTTAAATAAAATTTTTTTTTTTATTTTTTTAGTAGGTTTTTTTTATTTTCAAATTTTAAGGGTGAGAAACGGGTTGGCCGGGATCAGTTTTTGAATCCAGCCTAGGCCGTAAGCCCAGCTTTTTGACCCGCTCCGTTTCAACTTTTGCTAAAAGCCGGCTCACCATTTATATAATTGTAGGGCCGGGCTTAGCTGGGCCTTGCTTCACAACCCGTCTCTTAACCCTAGATTTCAAAAGTTTTAAAATGTCAACTTACACATTTGTTGTGAGACCAATTGGTCACCGACCATTCCACTGATCAACGGCACACTGGACAGAACCGCGGTTGGAACGGACGATTTTCTTGTCACTGACCCAAGAGAACCTTAAAATAAGAACTATCAGGTAAATACTTCGATTATCTTTACGTAACTATACATATAAGCAAATGTGTTACTTATGTAACATATATCTGAATAACATATAGATGAAAGAAGCAGGTTTAAAACTTAAATGTGTGAAAATAAACCAAAATATAACATCTATTTGATGGCTTCAATTACTAGATTTTTCCAATAATCCTGTGCTCCCTAACTCTAAAATTTTGCTTTGAGAAGGAGCACATAATTATATGAACGACCTAGTAAATTCTATTTTTGTGAGGAAAAATTATAGGACAGTAAGGAATGTAACGATCAAGAAAAGCGAATAACGGGTGTGTAATATCACTGTTTATATAAAAAAAATTGAAATACACAACACCCAACACCGTGACAAACTGTAAGGCAAAACACAATGACAGAGGTAAGGCAAAATACTATGATAAGACAATAATATGTTTTTCTTGTGCGACCACTAGAATCAAGTGAGCCCCCTATGTTACATAACTACAATTACACAACATTTTTGTTACAATTAACTAACAACACTAACTCCTTTCACCAGTAGCCCAAAAGCCGTGAGAAACACCGTCATCCCGTAGAAACCATGTGAAACATATATCATCATATGTATCACTGAAAATTGTTTTTTATGTATATTATGTATGTGTATACCATAGCCATTAAAGTTGAAAGTTGACAATATTTGATGTGCATAAGAAAATCCTTTCAAAACATAAAAATAAGTGTTGAATTAAGTCTATATAGCCCCTACTCATTAACGAAGAGTGAGCCAGTTTAAAAAAGCTCAGTTTTTTGGTCCTCTTCCGATGTGCACCATTCTTCCGTCGCACAAACCCGATGCTAGAGTTGGGTCGTTCTCCTTCAACATTTTCCATCGGAATCCATGAGCCAGATTCCGTGGATTGGGTAGACAATCTAGACGTGTTGGAAGCGCCAGACTCTGGTCGATAATGTCGTAATGATTCGTCGTACGACCATGTTGAATGAGATCGCATTAATACGGCGCGACGAATCGAGTCTGGACGGTTTAGGACCATAGTTATCGGGTTTATAGAGACCGTTTGGCTTTTTGTAGCTATTATGTTGGGGGCACAGAACTATTTGAACAGTCAACTAGTAATCAAAACGGCAAAAACTCTTTGTTGATTGATCGTATAGTAGAAGGTAGATAGTATAGTAGATGTTTTATTGATTGCTCGTAAGGGGAAAGGTAGGTGTTATAGTAGATTGTAGGTAAAAAAGTAAGCAAAGACTAAATTATTCTTTGTTCTACCCCAACAGCTTCAAGGCACACAATATGAATTAAATACGTGGTCGCTACAATATCTGGTTTAATTGTTTTAGCAAGTCTTTGCTATGGTCCGCTAGGGATTATCCGTTGATTCTTGGCAATTCAAATGTTACAACTCGTTTTCAAACCACGACACGTCAACACAAACACGTTTAATCCGACATATATCTTCTATTGTCAAGTTTGTTCAGATATGGATGAGCCTTTGAAAGAAAATTGGCTCATTCATTTTTGGACAACCCAATATTAAGGACGATAAATTACCAAAATTCACTGCAATAAATAAACAGTACTATGTTACACAAAAAACCATATATAGTAACAATCCACATTAACTATATATTGTAAACAGAGACGTAGCTAGCTGAGCTATAGAAAGGGGTAAATATGGGTGGATCCTTCCTCGACTTCTGAGCCAAACATATGCACAGGTAGGAGGTACCAATTAATAAAAAAAATTTTGTAGGGTCTAACATTCTGGCCCGGCCTGTCCTATATGCCTAGGCCTGAGTTCCTCATTTCATACCTGATCCATACACTCAAAGCACTTCCTCAACTCAATGGAAGCACCTCCACAACCCAAAAATTCGTTAACCGTCCAAGTATTGGACCGTCCAACTATTACCACGAATAATATCCGTTCCAACTATTACCAGCATTGGACCGTCCAACTATTACCACGAATCATATCCTCCTAAACCCATCAGAAACAAATCATTAACAACTTCCCTGTTAGTGAAAACAAATTTCAACTATAGAAACTGTTAATTTAATTAGAACAAATAACAGAATACTACAATAGTGGGAATACGACCTAAAAACGTCAATATCAACGACATATAGCGCTAAACAAACAATAATATTAAAAGTGCGGTCGGATTTCATATTAAGATTATACAATAAGACGTTTAAAAAGTAGCCCTATTAGTGCTGTGGTTTCGTCAGCACTTTTCATAAAATCCGGAAAAAGCTATAAATTAAAACGAATAACTCTCCAGTACTTAACAAAGGCCAGATGGTGACACATGGCATACTAAATTTATATTATAAAAGCTTGATAAATGAACTTATTATTATCAAAAGTTATACCAAGCTAAGACAATCACTATACCCAAGCCTTTACCCACAGCCCGTGCCTGAGAGCCATAGTCCAGTAACCTTTGCCTAGCTTTACCTGGTCCTAGCCTATGCAGCTTTAGTCATATCATATGATTAATATAGCTAATAAACTTACTGTGTATCACTAGTCGTCACTCGGATTCACTATGTGCCGAGACCTAGTTAGTTATAAATAACCTTATTGTAATCTTAAAGTATCTCAACCAATCCCGCAGCCAACTTAAACCTATATGTATTAATAAAAGCACGATAAAACATACTTCAAGCGTTTTACACAACGACGTGATGTATAAAACTACATCTCCGACATGTATGTTAAATCAACACGTTGGGATAAGCGCAATAAGATAATCCTCTATTTCCACCCGCACATGCAAAAAAACAATTTGAATTCGAAAAAGGTTGGATAAAGGGCAGTTAAGGTTCTCGGATTAGAAACAAAGAATTGTTCCCAATGACGAAGAGATTTGGCATCATCATTGTTTGGTATTAACTGTGGCACAACACGTTTTCAGTTTTTTTCTCGAACTCACCTGCCCGGCGCGGTAAGAAATTCTAGGCCCGGTTTGGCACCACCCGTTTTAGCGTCAGCTCAATATCTAGCTAGGAGTGAGAAACGGGCCAAGCCTATTTTTGAAGCCCGCTCTAGACTTGGAGCCCAAAGTTTTGGCTTGGCGTGGTCAAAAAATTCTAGTCCCGGTCCATTTCAGCTTTAGCTCAACGCCTGACTAGAGCTCAGAAGGCCGGGCATATTTTTGAAACCCGCCTTAGACCCGAAACTTAAAGTTTAGGCCCAGCCCGTTTTATTTTTTTTTCTGGCCGGCTTGGCCCGGTCAAAACGTCCTAGGGCCAACCTAGCCCAGCCTGTTTCAGCTTTAGCTCGTCGCATAGCTAGAGGGAGCATCGGACCAATTCTACTTTTAAAGCTCGGCCCAGACCCGTGGCCCAAAATTTAGGCCTGGCCAGGTTTCATTTTTTTTCTCAAGCAGGCCAGGCCCGGTCAAAAAAATTCTGGGCCCGGCCTGGCATGCCCCGTTTAGATTTTTTTTCTTTTTTTAAAACTCAAAAAAATAATACTTTCATTTTTCTCTCAAACCGGACCGGCTCAATCAAAAAAATTCTAGGCCCGGCTTGGCCTGGCCCTTGAGTTCTAGGCACTATAGTACTACATTTGCAAAGTAAAGTATGTACTATACATAATTTTGATCTCATGTAAAAAACCAAAAATAGCCGGAAGGCATTTTGTCTTAATATAATATGGGGTGTTAAATCTAACAGCTCGAGACAAATTTGACGCAAGTAAACAAGATTTCCAACTCAAGCGACACTGTTTTTTGTTCTTGGACAGTTTGTAAATAACTTTTACGGAAGTAAATTTGTGCAACCTTACCCTACCCTACCCTAACCTACCCTACCCTACCCTACCCTACCCTACCCTACTCTACTAGGATAGGGTAGGGTAGTTACCCTTTGGCCCAAGCGTGCGGACCCTGTCCCTGGTTTCAGGCCGGCCATGCCTGCCCCAAGCCATGTACAACTTTTTTTCCCCGGCCAATGGGATGGGCTCACCTTAGTTTGGGTTCCTGAACATGAGACGGCCTAGACCGAACCCCCCCCCCTGCTTTGCCCCCAACCCCCTCCTTCTCCTTTTTCAGAACCGGCCCGGCTTAGAACTTCCCTCCCCCCTCTTATTTTTAGTAATTATGAAGCCTAGCAGTACCTGCTTACGTCAAAACATTCAATCCTTATCACCGCAAGCCTGCGCAAAGTCCTAAACAGTCCTTTTTTATCGCCCTCCCTCCCTTTTTAAACTTTGACGGAAACGAGGACTCAATGAGGTTTGGCTGAACAATGAAGGCGAACTTCTGAAGGCCCTGGATAAGGGACCTTTATGAACCGCAGCGGAAATAAGATTCGAAACGAAAAGAAGTCGGATTTAATTTTTCCCCAATTTTTTACATCACTTTCATACCACGGCTTTTATTTACATCACTCGTTGTACCACGGCGTTTTTGATGCGACAGGCTTCTCAAAAACAATAAAATGGGTGGGGGCGGTGGTCAAAAATCACTACGAATTCGGTTCGGTAAGGTTTTTCTGGGCTGGGTGTAGGGCCGGGAGAAAGGCCGGGTCTTTTTCAAAGTAAACGGGCCGGTACATGTGGCTCCAAAAGGCTGGACCCAAACCAAAACCCCAGAGGCTTAGCTTAGGTCTTGCAACAAAAGATTTGACTTACTATAAGGAATTTACTAAATTTTAAATATTTAAATTTCCCGCCAATCTGGAAAATTTGGCATTTGTTCCAAGCACTTTTTTCGACATTCCAAACAGAATGCTGCTTACAAATTTAAAAATGTAGGTTTATTTAAAGGTATTCTACTAGTATTACAGAAAAATTATTAAAACACCAAAAAATGGCAAAGTTTTGAGCTTGAAACATAATGCCAAATTAGCGGAAAATTCAAAACGTAATTTTTTAATCTTCATTTTCTTGAGATTGGTTGAAAAGTGAGAATGAGTACGTTACTGAAGATGTTATATTAACATGGTCTTTCTACTTAAAACAGATTACCGTTATTCGTCTCAACCTACTTTAACTATATAGCCATAGTCATCAAAAAAATCTTACTCATTTCAAAACCAATCCGACCCAAAACGATTACCCTTACTTATACGTACGAACGTCTGCCATGCTTATACCCAGCCACAGCCGGGTATAAATATGTGCATCAGCGTTAATCTGAATACCCATTTCCCAAAGTGTTTTAATGCAAATGAACTCGGTGTAAACAATCTTTTGTGTCGGTTATTTTCTTAAGAAGAGGCATAGAGGTAATTGCACAAAGAATAGGGATTCACATGGGCTCATTTCAGCGTAGTAAAAGAATTTTTAAAAAGTGGACAAGGATTTTTGAAAAAATGTTTTGTTTCAGCACGTTTTAAAAGTTATGGTGAAGGTATTCGAAAGCTGTCAACTCCAGTTCTGCTTTGCCAAAGCTGGAACCAAAAAATGTCAAAGTTTGGTACTAACTAGGGAGTTGCACCAAATATCGCTTATTTTACCCTACCCTACCCTACCCTACCCTTCCCTACCCTACCCTACCCAGTCCTTTGGTCCCAGGTATATTTGGTGCAACTCTCTAGTTAGCTTTAGCCTTATCTTCAAAAATCAAAAACAAAAACTAAAGTTATGCCTAGGGTGTTAGTAAAGCTGTAAGCAAATTCATAAATACTAGACATAAAAGTATTGATTAAACTGTGAAATGTTATAAACGTATTGACGTATTTCAAACTACACAAGCCTAACATATACCATCTTATTGTTCTTCAGCTCCCACTAACATATTCACATCAAAACACATCCCCGCTTCCACCGCAGAATACAAAATAAGCGATAAAACAAAACGTATGTTTCACACCGGCATGGCTAAGGTATAATGTACAGCTTCATCTTAAGGCCGCGGCGAAACGGGAATTCAGCGCTAATCCGCCCGCCGCAAAAGTAATCGAACACCTTTTTTGAAAAGGAGGCCTCATGGATAACATAAATCTAGACGAGCTGGATGTGTAAGATTTATTGTTTTAAGTTGTGTTGAGTAAGTTATGAGGACAGTGGTTTATTGTGAC